ATACTTCTTTAACTTGCTGGCAAGAATACTGTGGGTGACCATAACAAAAGCTTTGCTAAAGTCAAGGAATAACACGTCCACTGCTTTCCCCACATCCACAGAGCCAATTATCTCGTCATAGAAGGAATTAGGTTACTCAGGCATGACTTGCCCTTGAATCCATGCTGACTGTTCCTGATCACTTTCCTCTCCTCTAAGTGCTTCAGAATTGATTCCTTGAGGACCTGCTCCATGATTTTTCCAGGGACTGAGGTGAGGCTGACTGGACTGTAGTTCCCTAGATCCTCCTCCTTCCCTTTTGTAAAGATGGGCAAACGTCCAACTTGTAGTGCGTGCAAGTGAGTGTGAATGAGACACACACAGACACTACTGCCCCCTACTGCATTGTATGCAGTGTTGCACCAGGTGTGTTCACCTGTGTGGCTTCAAAGTATTCATGCCTATTAACGCCCGCTCAGTGCTGACAACCAGTGACTTGCTTTTCAGCTGGAATTCCCACCAGCTGGGATCTGGCCCATAGGTGCTGACTTTTATTTTCCCTGGTGGGTCTTCCCCCCGATGTCCCGCCCCACACTCTGCTCCTTCCCCTGAGGCCCCGCCCTCGCTCCCTCTGTTCCTGACCCCACTCCACCCTCCCTTTGTTTGCTCATCGCAGCCCCCTCATGCAAGTCCCCCCCCCACCGTCTGCCTGCTGCTGGCTCCTCTCCGCCCTCCCCCAGCACCTCCCGCTAGCCACTAAACAGCTGATTAGTGGCCAGCCCCGGGGCCTCACCAAACAGCTGTGGCTGGTGGGTGCTGAAGACCTCCTCATTCTTTTTCCGTGGGCGCTTGAGTCCCAGAGCACCTATGGAGTTGGAGAGTATGATCTGGCCCCACTGACAGCAACCAATGGAGCTCGGGCCGATTGACACCAGCTGGGATCTGGTGCCAGCTCTGATTCTACCCCGTGACGAGCGCTGGCCTCTCCCGTGCTGCTGCCCAGCGAGAGGGCCCTGTTTAGAGATTACAGCCTTATTTCTGAAACGTTCCCCAACACGACTACATACTTAAACTCAAAGAAAGGGCGCCAAAATACAAGTTCGCCCAGGGCACCTTTTTTCCCCTAAGGCTGGCCCTGGCCATTCGAACCCTGGAGACAGGCGGATGCTGTCTGGGACAAGCAACCTGGGCCACTGACGTACTCACCGGCGCAGCCCAGCTGGATCCCGGCAGACAGAGAGCCCAGAGAGAGTCGCAGTCAGGAAATGGGGGACAGGCACAGGCAGTGTGGCCTTCTGAAGCCTGCTCTGAATATCAGTCACTCCTTGTTGGGTTTTTAAATCGCTGAGCTAAGGGAATTCCCGGCAGCCCATTGCTATGGGGGAAGCACAGGGGTTTGCAGATGTCCCCAAACATTGCATCATGCCTGCACATGACCGAGGAGTTTCCATCAGCCCAGCTCTGTCAAGAGGGTCTGGCCTCGGGACAAATTTACTGAAACCTCTGCTGCTTCTAAGCCTCTGTAACCAATTTCCTGTAACCAGGGTGGAAGGCGAAGCAAATACAGAATCACCTGCAGTTTGCTTTAGTCCTCAACCCAGCCGCACAGGCAGCCTCTGAGGGACCTGCTGCTTCTCACCGTGGAGCTGTCAGACCCCTCAATGGATGGGGGGTTAAACGGCCTGTGACCACAGCGTATCCTGTGGTAACTGAACCCCGCTGCCAGGTGGAGTCGGCAGCAACAAGGGCCGGGTTCCATACCCAGGGGTCCCTCTTAACAACCCAGCGCAGAGCCGGCTCGAGCCCCCACCCTGGGGCGGGTTGTTCAGAAGGTGACGTTGGTCTCTCCATAGATAGTACTAGCCAGGGAGAAGCGTAATCTGGTGATTAGAGCAGCAGAGGCTGGGAGCCAGGACTCCTCGGTTCTATCCCCAGCTCTGGGAGGGGAGTGGTGTCTAGTGGTTAGAGCTGGGCAGCTGAAAGCCAGGACTCCTGGGTTCTCTTCCTGCCTTTGCCACTGGCTGTCAGAGTGACTTTGAGTCACTCAGTTCATGGCCTTTCTGCCTCCATTTTTCCATCTGTAAAATAAATTATGATGCTTGTTTATAACTGCGGCCAGGATCTCTGGGGTCCCTGGGCAGTGGGGGGCGGGGGGCTGCAGCCAGGAGCAGGCGCCCTGGCTGCAGCTGGGATCTCTGGGTAGCTGGGGACGAGAGCTGGGGCAGCAGCCAGGATCTCTCCCGCAACTCTGTTTTCCTTTCAGGGCTCATCACAGCTGACTTGCCCGTCATCACTCAGTTTGCGGGGGGACATCACCCTGAGCTGCCTCTTCCTGTGATGAAATTTCTAAGTGTCTGTCTGTATCTCAGAAGTGAATCTGACATTAGACAAGGCTCAGGAGAATGTTTACCTAGAGCAGATTAAAGTTGATGGTCAGGTTAAAGCCCTAACTGAGGAAGGAAAGGGCACAGTCTTGGTAAGTGATAGATTGTTAGCAAGTGAAGTTTGTGAAAGTAAGCCCGAAAAAGGTAAAAAATGATTTGTTTAAAGCAGCTCAGTGTAATGAGACTCTGTCTGTGGAGAATAGCAGTTTATCTGTTGGGAGTGGCAACTTGCCTGTGAAAGAAGCTGTCTCACTTTCCAGGTATGTGTCTAGGGTAACCAGATAGCAAATGTGAAAAATCGGGACGGAGGAGGGGGGCCTAATAGGCGCCTATTTAAGACAAAGCCCCAAATATTGGGACTGTCTCTATAAAATCGGGACATCTGGTCACCCTATATGTGTCTGAAATCAGCAAGGAGTGCTGGGACAAAGGAAAGGATATCTCCCATTGTTTCTCTGTTTGAATAGCAGCATGCCTGCTGAGGAAAAGTTCCTCTCTACTTCTCTGTCTGTAAAGCAGAAAGAAGAACCCTGTCAGCCTATGATGATTGAAAATGTATCAGTTGACCCAGAGTTGAATCTGGATACAGCTAAAGCCCAGGAAGGAAGCGGTCCTAAATTTGTGTCTGCTAGGAATAATGACATTGTAACTAAGTTGCATCCAGTTAATGTCATAAATAAATCCCAGGGACCAAGCGATTCTGGTGCTTCTGTTTTGTCTGCTGCTAGTGTGTTGCTGGGTAAAGATATGACAACCTTGTCTGATCAGGGTGATATTGTTATACCAAAAAGAAAAGGAGTACTTGTGGCACCTTAGAGACTAACCAATTTATTTGAGCATGAGCTTTCGTGAGCTACAGCTCACTTCATCAGATGTTTACCGTGGAAACTGCAGCAGACTTTATATACACACAGAGAATATGAAACAATACCTCCTCCCACCCCACTGTCCTGCTGGTAATAGCTTATCTAAAGGTTTCAGAGGAACAGCCGTGTTAGTCTGTATTCGCAAAAAGAAAAGGAGTACTTGTGGCACCTTAGAGACTAACCAATTTATTTGAGCATGAGCTTTCGTGAGCTACAGCTCACTTCATCAGATGTTTGATCTGATGAAGTGAGCTGTAGCTCACGAAAGCTCATGCTCAAATAAATTGGTTAGTCTCTAAGGTGCCACAAGTACTCCTTTTCTTTTAGCTTATCTAAAGTGATCAACAGGTGGGCCATTTCCAGCACAAATCCAGGTTTTCTCACCCTCCACCCCCCCACACAAATTCACTCTCCTGCTGGTGCTAGCCCATCCAAAGTGACAACTCTTTACATAATCAAGTCGGGCTATTTCCTGCATAGATCCAGGTTTTCTCACATCCCCCCCACCCCCATACACACACAAACTCACTCTCCTGCTGGTAATAGCTCATCTAAACTGACCACTCTCCAAGTTTAAATCCAAGTTAAACCAGAACATCTGGGGGGGGGGGGGGGGTAGGAAAAAACAAGAGGAAACAGGCTACCTTGCATAATGACTTAGCCACTCCCAGTCTCTATTTAAGCCTAAATTAATAGTATCCAATTTGCAAATGAATTCCAATTCAGCAGTTTCTCGCTGGAGTCTGGATTTGAAGTTTTTTTGTTTTAAGATAGCGACCTTCATGTCTGTGATTGCGTGACCAGAGAGATTGAAGTGTTCTCCGACTGGTTTATGAATGTTATAATTCTTGACATCTGATTTGTGTCCATTTATTCTTTTACGTAGAGACTGTCCAGTTTGACCAATGTACATGGCAGAGGGGCATTGCTGGCACATGATGGCATATATCACATTGGTGGATGTGCAGGTGAACGAGCCTCTGATAGTGTGGCTGATGTTATTAGGCCCTGTGATGGTGTCCCCTGAATAGATATGTGGGCACAATTGGGAACGGGCTTTGTTGCAAGGATAAGTTCCTGGGTTAGTGGTTCTGTTGTGCGGTATGTGGTTGTTGGTGAGTATTTGCTTCAGGTTGCGGGGCTGTCTGTAGGCAAGGACTGGCCTGTCTCCCAAGACTTGTGAGAGTGTTGGGTCATCCTTTAGGATAGGTTGTAGATCCTTAATAATGCGTTGGAGGGGTTTTAGTTGGGGGCTGAAGGTGACCGCTAGTGGCGTTCTGTTATTTTCTTTGTTAGGCCTGTCCTGTAGTAGGAGACTTCTGGGAACTCTTCTGGCTCTATCAATCTGTTTCTTTACTTCTGCAGGTGGGTATTGTAGTTGTAAGAAAGCTTGACAGAGATCTTGTAGGTGTTTGTCTCTGTCTGAGGGGTTGGAGCAAATGCGGTTGTATCGCAGAGCTTGGCTGTAGACGATGGATCGTGTGGTGTGGTCAGGGTGAAAGCTGGAGGCATGCAGGTAGGAATAGCGGTCAGTAGGTTTCCGGTATAGGGTGGTGTTTATGTGGCCATTGTTTATTAGCACTGTAGTGTCCAGGAAGTGGATCTCTTGTGTGGACTGGACCAGGCTGAGGTTGGTGGTGGGATGGAAATTGTTGAAATCATGGTGGAATTCCTCAAGGGCTTCTTTTCCATGGGTCCAGATGATGAAGATGTCATCAATATAGCGCAAGTAGAGTAGGGGCTTTAGGGGACGAGAGCTGAGGAAGCGTTGTTCTCAATCAGCCATAAAAATGTTGGCATACTGTGGGGCCATGCGGGTACCCATAGCAGTGCCGCTGATCTGAAGGTATACATTGTCCCCAAATGTGAAATAGTTATGGGTAAGGACAAAGTCACAAAGTTCAGCCACCAGGTTAGCCGTGACATTATCGGGGATAGTGTTCTTGACAGCTTGTAGTCCATCTTTGTGTGGAATGTTGGTGTAGAGGGCTTCTACATCCATACTGGCCAGGATGGTGTTATCAGGAAGATCACCGATGGATTGAAGTTTCCTCAGGAAGTCAGTGGTGTCTCGAAGGCAGCTGGGAGTGCTGGTAGCGTAGGGCCTGAGGAGGGAGTCTACATAGCCAGACAATCCTGCTGTCAGGGTGCCAATGCCTGAGATGATGGGGCGCCCAGGATTTCCAGGTTTATGGATCTTGGGTAGTAGATAGAATATCCCAGGTCGGGGTTCCAGGGGTGTGTCTGTGCGGATTTGATCTTGTGCTTTTTCAGGAAGTTTCTTGAGCAAATGCTGTAGTTGCTTTTGGTAACTCTCAGTGGGATCATAGGGTAATGGCTTGTAGAAACTCGTGTTGGAGAGCTGCCGAGCAGCCTCTTGTTCATATTCCGACCTATTCATGATGACAACAGCACCTCCTTTGTCAGCCTTTTTGATTATGATGTCAGAGTTGTTTCTGAGGCTGTGGATGGCATTGCGTTCCGCATGGCTGAGGTTATGGGGCAAGTGATGCTGCTTTTCCACAATTTCAGCCCGTGCACGTCGGCGGAAGCACTCTATGTAGAAGTCCAGTCTGCTGTTTCGACCTTCAGGAGGAGTCCATCTAGAATCCCTCTTTCTGTAGTGTTGGCAGGGAGACCTCTGTGGATTAGTATGTTGTTCAGAGGTATTTTGGAAATATTCCTTGAGACGGAGACGTCGAAAATAGGATTCTAGGTCACCACAGAACTGTATCATGTTCGTGGGGGTGGAGGGGCAGAAGGAGAGGCCCCGAGATAGAACAGCTGCTTCTGCTGGGCTGAGAGTATAGTTGGATAGGTTAACAATATTGCTAGGTGGGGTGAGGGAACCATTGCTGTGGCCCCTTGTAGCATGTAGTAGTTTAGAAAGTTTAGTGTCTTTTTTCTTTTGTAGAGAAGCAAAGTGTGCGTTGTAAATGGCTTGTCTAGTTTTAGTAAAATCCAGCCACGAGGAAGTTTGTGTGGAAGGTTGGTTCTTTATGAGAGTATCCATTTTTGAGAGCTCATTCTTAATCTTTCCCTGTTTGCTGTAGAGGATCTTGATCAGGTGATTCCGCAGTTTCTTTGAGAGCGTGAGGCACAAGCTGTCAGCATAGTCTGTGTGGTATGTAGATTGTAATGGATTTTTGACCTTCAGTCCTTTTGGTACGATGTCCATCTGTTTGCATTTGGAAAGGAAGATGATGTCTGTCTGTATCTGTAGAAGTTTTTTCATGCAGTTGATAGATTTCCACTCCATACGGCTAAATGCACCTGTCATTGTTATACCAATAAAATAAAAACCAGCAGGATCTTATTAAAGGGACAAGGCAAAATACCACATTTATTGTGAATACAGAAAGAATCGTAGTAAGCAGTTAGTTACAGCTATAACATTCCATTCAATCTCATATTTATTCACACATTCATTCATACACACACACACACACAGGTTCTGCAAGGTTGTTATCATAAAAAGAAAAGGAGGACTTGTGGCACCTTAGAGACTAACCAATTTATTTGAGCATGAGCTTTCATGAGCTATCATAGTTACCAGCCTTAGAGTTGCTCATGCCAAGCTACTGGCCAGGTGGCCTGGACATGAGGAGGGAGCAGGGCCTTGTCAGATGCTCATCTGATGCTCCTGGAAGTTGGTTTGCAGAATCAGACCCCAAAGTTCTCATGTTCTAGAGGCCATTTTTATAGGAATTTCTTCCTAGGCCAGTCTATGGGAATTGCTTCATCATGCTGTTGCTGAATCAATCAGCAGATGGCACATTCCTGACGGCTCCATGCTGCCAGATGTTATTTTGTTCTTTGGTTCTCCCATTCTTGAGGCTGTTGGGTGGATTCCAGTCTGCCCTCTGGGGGTCCTCTGGTTATTTCCACTTGACGCCTTCTTCAGCCGATGGACACTGGATTCTTAGGCTGGCACCTCCCTGGTCATTCAGTTATTATCCACACCAAGCATCCATCCACATACATCCTCTATCTCTATTTTAATCACAATTGTTAACAAAGCGAGATGAGTACAACAAAAGGGCGGGGAGTCTCTGGGTGCTGTTTCTGTTGTTACAGAGTATTGCTTTGAGTCTCTCTGTGTGAGTAGTTGTTGTTACAAAGAATTGCTTTGAGAACAGACTCTGTCTTAGAATGTACTAACACAATTAGCAGCTTGCAAGTTTCACACATAGAGGGAGAGAAACAGTACCAAAAACCAAGAGACCTCTTAGTTAGTAATACCCTAGAATTTAAACTATGAGGAATCAAACTCATTTGTGATTTTAATACAGAACTTCTTTAATATGATCCAACAATATCACAGCCAGGACACAAGGAAAGCATGACGGTGATTTGACTATGTTACCCACTGACAGTGTGGAAACTTGTAACAAGGAAGAGAATGCTTCTAATCTTTTGACTATGAAGTCTAGCAGTTTACCTTGTGTAAAAATCCTGATTAGCCAGAGGTGATTCTGGATGTATGTGAAACTCAGAAGGAGTTTGGTGATTTGTCTGTTGTGCCAGAGTCAGGTCTGGACATGAATAAAGCTCAGAAAGAATCAGCTGAGTGCCTGGGCTGGAGGGGGTTTGAGTTCAGTGTGGAGGGCCAAGGCCAGGAGCAGCCATCCGTACCAGCGTCACGCCATAGGGTCAGCACAGAGCTGACGCTGATGGGCCGGGTCAGAGCCAGGTGAGTCAGCCAAAGGGGACCAGTGGAGCAGAGGCAGGGTGAGCCCTCAGGAAAGGCGCAGGGGACCAGGAGGAACCTGGAGCAAGGCTGGGTCTCAGGATAGGGCAGCAGGGTCTGTTTGCAGCAGCAAGCCAGCTGATCCCCTAGGCCCTAGGGGCACAGCCAGCCTCCAACTTGGCCCAGGCACCCTATTTAAGGCCCATCAGGGACAGCAGTAGGCTCCACCAACCAGGACATCCGTGGGCAGGACATGCAGTGGTGCTTGAAGAGACAGGGCTCCCAGGCTGCTGTTCCCTTCTTCACCAGAGGTAGGAGTGTGGATACAGTCGCAGCCCAGGAGCCAACAGGCCTGGTTCCAGGTCCCGGGTGGCACAGGCACATGGGGAGGGGGGCAAATGCAGTCAGGGAAGGGGGGGTTTCCGGTCCTGCTGGACTCCGTTTGAGTCAGCTTAAAGCAAGGTGGGGGAGTTGTACCTCACTCCCTTGGGAGCAGCCTGCTTTGTCTCTCGCTGGGCTGGGTTTTTGTGTGTTGGGTCCTGGAGTGTAAGCAATAAAGTCATGGGGCATGGCAGCCTCCCAGCAGGAGGATTTCCTGTTTTGATCTAACATCTCTGTGTGCACTTGCTGGGAACGTAACAGGCCACGGAAGGAGCCAGATTCTCATGATGGAGGTGGGGGGAAGGTCGGAGACCCCTTGGTGACGCTGCTAGAGGATGAGGTGAGTCTCCCCAGCTCTTGGTCAAGGTCAAGGGCACCAGTGATAGGGGCATGGCTGGTTGGTAGATCCGGGGCAGCGGGGTTGTCCTAGGTCCACCAGGGGCTCAGTCGCCAGGAGGTGGTACTAGATCTTGCTCATGGTGGCTCCAGCTCTGCCCCAGCTGATCCCCTAGGACTTAGTCCCTGCCGGCTGCTTGTGGCCAGCTTGTTCTGAGCTGGGGCCAGCTGGGACCGGTCAAGAGACCTCATTCTCACCCTCCTCCTCAGCGTTCTTTCAGGAGCAGGAACTGGCCGGGCCCCGGCTGGGATGGCAGAGAAACATGACGGCCAGCAGGATGAAACAGAGACAGGCGGTGAAGACGACAGCCAAGCGGCCCTCAAGACAGGAGACCGGCGGACCCAGGAGTCCTGCAACAGAGAGAGGGAATGGGGCAGCAGGGGTCCTGCGCTGACAACGGCTGGGGCGAATGCTCAGAGAAAGGGGCGGATGCCCAATCGCATTGGCAGGGCAGATTTAAGAGCTGCGGGGAATAGACTGCAGAGGGCCATCCTGGGTGGGGGGAATAAATGGGGTCCCCTATACCCAGGAGCTTCCTCCCCCACTCTGTGTTCCCAGGCCTGAGCTCCCTCCGAGAGCTGAGATCCAGATCCTCCCACCCTCTGACTCACCTGGGCTCAGCTCCAGGCTCAGGGGCCGGGTGATCGGCTCCCCCAGAACTCGGGGGGTTAACACGAAGGTCAGCCTGGTGCGGTGCATCACAGACGGCACCCTGACCCAGCTGGTGACGTGGCAGAGCCCCTGTTCATCCACCTGCTGCTCCGTGGCGCCCTCTGTCATGATGTCCCTGCCCGCCTCGTCCAGCCACTGCACTGTGGCCGCGGGGTACCCGCCCCATGTGCGGACAGTCAGTGTGACCCCAGCGCTGGAGAGGCTGAAGGTCAGCTGGGGCTCGCTGAACAGGGCTGAGGGAAAAGAACCATGGGGATGGATTTAGGGAAGGGACTCAGAATTGGGCCCCAAAGGCTGGATCCTGCCCTGGGTTGTGAATCCGGATTGACTCTGCTCTGGCCCAGGACTCACTGAAAGCACCTGGAATTAGCAGCTGGGACATGCAAGGCAGCTTCAGCGCAGAGAGATTCCAGGCGGACTCTGAGGGCCCCAGCTCCAGGATTCACCCTCCCAGCACATGCAGTAAACACAGTCCCAGCTGCAGGAGATAACAGGTTTGGGATGAGCCCTCCCTCGCCAGTGGGGAAAATATTTTGACGACAATCACATCAGGTTATCTCTGGGGCTTGAACCCATGGCCTGTAGGTTTCTCCTCCTGAGCTGCAGCTGCCTGAGCTAAAGAAGGAGTCACAGTAACAGAACGTTGCTGGTCGGTTCAAAGTGCCACTCACGCTACAGCCACGAGAGGGGGACACAGAGCCACACTGCCAGGCCCATCCCAAGATGCAGCATCCCCGGCACTCACCTCCCACTCTCAGCTCCCAGTGTTCAGACGTCGTGCCCAGCTCCGTGGTGACGTGGCAGCGATAGACGCCCTCATCCTGCATGCGGACACCCCTCAGCGTCAGGACACGTTCCCCCGGGCCAGCCCCTCCGGATCCAGGCGGGTCCGGTTCCTATAAGCCTCGTCCTGTCTCGCCAGCTGCTCCCTCCCGTAATAGTGACTATGAACCATCAGGACCCCTGCCACCGCCCCCTCCTTCTGCCAGGTGAGGGTCAGACGCTGAGGTTCAGCCCGGACTGGGATGGGAAGAGGCAGCTCAGAGTGACGTCCCCCCCAAACAGAGCAGTGATGGGCGATGCTGCTCTGATGGGCCCTGAAAGTGAAACAGGGTTGTGGCAGAGACCCCAGCTCCAGCTCCCTCCCGCACACTACTCAGTGACCCCAGCAATCCCAGCTGAAGCCCCACTCCCACTCCCCCGGTGCCCAGAAACTCCAGAGATCCTGGGCACAGCCATGCCCCCCACTCCCTGCTGCCCTGTGTCTCCAGAGATCTCAGCTGCAGCCCCAGCCCCCTCCCCCACCTAGAGATCCAGGCCACAGAAGATCCCCACACACACTTTAACCAGCAACCAGATCCCAGCCTCAGCTATAAACAAGCATCACAATTTATTTTACAGATGGAAAAATGGAGGCACAAAGGCAGTGAACTGACGGACTTAAAGTCACCCCAACAGTCAGTGGCAAAGGCAGGAAGAGAACCCAGGAGTCCTGGCTTTCAGCTACCCATCTCTAACCACTAGAGCCCACTCCCCTCCCAGAGCCAGGGACAGAACCCAGGTGTCCTGACCTCATAAGAATGGCCATACTGAGTCAGACCAAAGGTCCATCTATCCCAGTATCCTGTCTTCTGACAGTGGCCAATGCCAGCCATCTTCCCCAGCCCCATAGGCACCTGTTGGCCTCTCCAAAGAATGTGTCAGTCCTATGGTTGGGAATGTGAATCTGTCGTGTAAGATCTTATTGGACAATCTCCACCCAGCAGCCCCGCACCCTGCCTTCCCTCCCCCCCTTAACTGCAAGACCATATTATGCAAAACCATATTAAAAACCTTACTAAAGTCAATATATACCACAATATATGCCCCTATCCACAAGGCTTGTTATCCTGTCAAAGATAGCTATTAGGTTGGTTTGACACTGCATTTCTACTGCATTAATAGCCCAAGGTCATTTAAAAATGGCCCCAAATTAGCCCAATCTATTTACTGAAACAAAGTTTTCTTATTAACACATTGGTCTGTACATCAAATAACAAATGAAAGATTCCCTTAGACACCTAGTACAGATTTGATTTAAAAAAAAAAAAAGCTACGAGCCACAGCAGGAGTTCATCCACATTAGCAACAAAGATATGAGATGACAATCAAATCCAAAATCAGGACCTCAATACTGGTACCTGTAACCCAGTCGAGCGGTGGCAGATGTTTCAAACAAAAAACAGCAAATGACAATGTTAAAAACAGTTCCAATGTAGTTTTAAGAAATGTAAGCAAATGTGATTCATTCATATCCATCCAGCAAAGCAATCGTGTCACCAAATATTGATAAAATTCACTTCTGTGTCATACTATAGTACCTCAGAACCACACACAATTGTTTGTTGGTTGTTATATCGGCACTTTCATCAGCCCCTCTTTCGTTTTCATCAGCCCCTCTGTCCTTCAAGTGGGAGGGCCAGTGTTTCCCAGCAACAAAAACAGAGTAATTTCAGATTTTCAAAACTGTATATTTTGGAAATTTTGGATCTGCGTTATATTTGGGGCCCTACCAAATTCACATCCATGAAAAATGCGTCACGGACGTGAAATCTGGTCTCCTCCCGTGAAATCTCATCTTTTGTGTGCTTTACCCTATACTATACAGATTTCAGGGAGGAGACCGGCGTTTCTCAAATTGGGAATCCTGACCCAAAAGGGAGTTGCTGGGGGATTGCGGTATCATCATCCTTACTTCTATGCTGCCTTCAGAGCTGGGTGGCTGGAGAGCAGCAGCTGTTGGCCAGGCGCCCAGCTCTGAAGGCAGCGCCCCGCCAGCAGCAGGGCAGAAGTACCACAGCCCCCCCCCCACAATAACCTTGTGACCCTGCCACAGCTCCTTTTTGGGTCAGGACCCCCTACAATTACAGCACTGTGAAATTTCAGATTTAAATTGCAGAAATCATGAAACTGACTATTTTTAAAATCCTATGACCCTGAAATTGACCCAAATGGGCCCTGAATTTGGTAGGGCCCTAATTCTATTCAGACCAAGAAAGAAAAGCTGGAGCCAGCTGTGCAGGGCCGGGGGGACACATGCTGGGCACTGAGGGCCAACGGCAGGAGCCCCCTGGGAGCGGGTCATAGGCGCGATCCCAGCCGCTCTGCAGCGCCGGGAGGGAGCTCAGCACCCCACTGCCACGCGCCCGCCCTGGGGAGTCACCCAGCCCCGGGCACTGGGACCAGAGCAGTCCAGCCCCCAGAGCCGCCAGCCCCCAGGCTCCGCCCTGCACCCCGCCCCACTGGGGAGGAGTCAGGGTGAGCCCCACCCACCCGCTGGAGGAGAAGCGGCTTCGCCCTGGTCTACGCTGGGAGCTGAGGTCGAATTTAGCCGCGTTAAATCGATTTAACCCCGCACCCGTCCACACGACGAAGCCCTTTTTTTCCACGGAAAGGGCTCTTAAAACCGATTTCTTTCCGCCGCCCCGGCAGGGGATTGGCGCTGAAGTCGGCCTCGCCGGGTCGAATTTGGGGTACTGTGGACGAACCAGCCGAGGGGCGGAGCCAGTGGGGCAGGGAGGGGCGGAGCACGCTGCGGGGGCGGGGCCAGGAAGGGGCGGGGCAGCAGCGTGGAAGGGGCGGGGCTAGGCCCTGCTTGGGCTCTGACATAGGGGGTGAAGTCCCCGGCCGCCGCCCCTGGGTAGGAGACAGGGAAATGAACAGGAATCACGTGCTCCCCGCAAAGGCCAATGGGAACCCCGTCCTCCTGGCCCCGCCCCATGGGGGCCCTCCAAGCCACGCCCCCTTCCTGCCTCGGAAAGCTCCGGCCGCCCCACCCTTCCCGCGCGTCCCCGTGAGACGTCACAAACGCGCGCCGGAAGTGGCGTGCGGCTAATCAGTGGCGCCTTCACCGGCCAGCGCCGGAAGGTGCTCTACGTCATTGGCGTCCCGCCGGAAGCGGGTGTGTCGGGCCGCAGCGCGGTGCGGCGGAGGCTGAGCCCGGACCCCGCCATGGCGGCTCCGCCCGCCCCGCCCCCCGCTGGGGGGGCCCCAGCCCCGGGACCCGGCCCCGCGGGGGGGCGCCGCGGCTGGGGGGGGCCCAAGAGTGGGGAGGAGCGACTGAAAGAGATGGAGGCGGAGATGGCGCTGTGAGCGCGAGGGCAGTGGCTGGGGGGGCCCGGAGCGGGGGGGAGCGGGTCTGTGGGGGAGATCGGGGCCCTGGGGTGGGCGGGAGAAGAGGGGGTGACCGTGGGGAGGGGCGGGAGGACGTTTGGGGGGGTGAGCTGGAGTGGGCAGCGGAGGATTTGCGGGGAGACCAGGGTAAAAGGGGGCGAGGCCTGTGGGTGGGGAGACTTGAGGGATGGGTTGTGGGGAGCTGGGCTGGGACAAAAGGCTGGGAGACTCCGGGAGGGGGTGGGATGAGGATACAGGGGTTGAAAGGAAGCTGGGGGGGTGTCTGGAGAGGATGGTGGAGGGGGGGAGCAGGAGGGTTCGGCTGAAGAATTAGGGCTCGCGGTGGTGGGCGTGTGATGAGCAGAGCCCAGGACAGAGGAGTGGGAGAGCTGGAGTAGAAAGGGGCTGGAGATCAGTAGACACTTGTGGGGGGGGGAAGGGGGTGAGTCCTGCAGGGAGATTGAAGGACAAAGGGATGGGAACCCCTGAGAGGGCACAGGGAGGCGGGAGCACCTGGAATCCTTGAGGTGTCCAGTGAGGGTAACGGAGAGCTCTTGGCGGGAGGGAATGGGGAGCTGCGAGGAGGAGGGCTGGGGATGGGCAGATATCAGGGCAAAGCGGTGAAAGACCCTGCATTGAAGAAGGGGTGGGCCTTGTGGCAGAAGGGGGACCTGAGCAACTGGGACCTGGAGGGGCTCAGGGCAAGGGCATGGAAAACTCTGGATGGTAGCAGGGAGGCCTCAATGTGCTTCCATTTGTCATCCCTCGCCCCGTACAGGTTTGAGCAGGAGGTGCTGGGGGCCCCTGTCTCCCTGCCCTCCGGGGCCCCGGTGGTGGAGGCCGTCCCAGTAGCTCTGACAGTGCCAGCTGTGCCCACGGTGCCCCCAGTCCCAGTGATCCGGCCCATCATCGCCACCAACACCTACCAGCAGGTGAGGTACTGGCTTATCCCTCACCATGGGGATGAGCAGCGTGGGAGCGATGCTGGGTACCGCTGCAGTTCATTAGCCCAGAAATGCGGTGAGGGAATGTAGTTTGGTGGCAGCTGAGTGATTAAAAACAGATTTCAGAGTAGCAGCCGTGTTAGTCTGTATCCGCAAAAAGAAAAGGAGTACTTGTGGCACCTTAGAGACTAACCAATTTATTTGAGCATAAGCTTTCGTGAGCTACAGCTCACTTCATCGGATGCATCCGATGAAGTGAGCTGTAGCTCACAAAAGCTTATGCTCAAATAAATTGGTTAGTCTCTAAGGTGCCACAAGTACTCCTTTTCTTTTTGTTAAAAACAGAGATGCTCTGGGCACGTGCTGGCCACAGCCCTGACTTGGGCTCTCTGTGACTGCACTCCCCTCCCCCCCGCCACCCCTTCTCCATCAACTCTCTGCTGTGTGTCCATCTGTCTGTCTGATTAGGGGACAGTGTTGGCACCCATCACTAGGGAGTGAGTCGTCCATCGCCCTTGGTTACTAGATGAAATATTCAAAACCAAGGTACCTTTGCCCCCAGGTTAATAGATCAACATAGTGAGGTCCCTAATAGTCCTCAGGGGTCTCCGGCTGCGCTCCCTCATTGGCTTTTAGGGAGCTGCACGTCGGTAGGATGCTTTTTGAGTGGTGGAGTAGATTGTGTGGAAGTATCATTAAATGCAAAACACCTCTCTCCACTGTCTCAGTCCCTTATTTGTGTTGGGTAGCTCCTGGGGCCCTAGTCATCTTAGGCTGGGAAGGATTTGATTTTTGTTGTTAAACATTGATTTCACTGTGCACTTGCAAATGCTGTAAAAATATTTCCATCCGTGATAATCAAAATTTACATGCAAAGTAAGCAATATGCTGCTTGAAAACTCACGAGTTTGATTTAAGGATATTTACTTTGTATATGACGTGTGATGTTGACAATTTGTTTAACAGTTACAAACTGTTAGAACCTCAACATCTGCTGTCATTAAATTATTGTCTGACTTCCCCCAATAACTTCCCGCAACTGTGAACATTTAAATGGATAGAAATTGGTGAAAAAAATGCTTAAAAACACCAATATTAGGCTTTGAAATTATTTAAAAAAATTCTGCCAAGTGTCCTCATAGACCAGGGCTCCCCGCTTGGTGCTGTACGAACACACAAAGAAAAAGACATTCCTTCCCCTGGAGATTTTACAATTATGTCTTGTTTATTCCTGGAACTGTTTAGGAATAGTTGATCCTAACTATCTTCATGTGGGAACACTCATATCAGAATAAGGTTATCCACATTAGAGAGTTAATCAGGAATAGCTATTGCACTTTAAATTCACACCCTACCTCAGTGGTTTTCAACCTGTGGTCTGTAGACCCCTGGGGGTCTACAGACTGTCTAAAATTTCCAAAGGAGTCTGTGCCGCCAACATTTTTAGGGGGTCACAAGTGAAAAAAGGTTGAAAACCACTGCCCTACCTTATTCTAGGCTTGTCTAAAATGAGAAGTTAATTCAGATTAAGGGTGTCTTGTTCCTGTTTAGCTTAATCCAAACAAACCATTGGAACAAACTCACCAGGGCAGTGGCGGATTGTACGTCTCTTGATGTCTCCAAATCCAGACCAGATGCCTTACTGGAGGAAGCTTTAGTCAAACACAAGTGACTGGACTCAGTACAGTGGGAGCTGGCTGAAATTTTCTGGCCTGTGTTATACAGGAGGTCAGACTTGACGATCTGATGCTCCCTTCTGGCCTTGGAATCTGTGAAAACTGCTCTGCATGAAAAGCAGTAGCCAGTTACCATGTCCATCTCCTGACTGTCTTGGGTCTAAGTTCCAGGTTGGCACACAGACGGAATGTAGCTGGGACCCAGTCCCCTAATGGGCTGTTCCCGGAGTGGGTCTCTGGCTCTCTGTTTGCTCTCATTTCTGTGCAGTGTCGTCCACCTCCCCTTGCCTCTCTGTGCTGATGGTCTGGTGTTGTTGGAGGCCAGTGGTGTGGCGAGCTAAAGCTAAATTAGCCCTCCACTCCTATGCCAGGCTTGCGGGTCTCACTCCCTCAGCTGCCCTGTCAAATCCCACTGCTCAGCCTCTTTCCTGGTCCTGCTGTGCCCTTTAACTAGCTGGTCCTTTCTGCAGCTGCACAGATGTTTCCTGGGGTGGTGGGGGCTGTGTTACCTGCCTCTGGACAGATGTTTCAGGGCAGGGGGCATGAGGAGGGGTGGTATTCCTTCTGCACTAGCCCATGTGCCTCTCCCCCAGGGGTATTATAGAGGTCTGCATTAACAGCCGCCGCTCTTGATTCCTGTTTCTGTTCTGCTCCAGGTCCAGCAGAGCTTAGAAGCCCGAGCGGCTGCCGCAGCCACCGTCGTAGCCCCCATCGTGGCCCCCCCGGTACCGTTCGTGGGACCAGGTACGTAGCGTGTCTCGGTGGCCTAGTGTCTGACTGCACATGGCACGTTTGAGATTCCAAAGCAATGTGTCCTTTCTTTCTCTTTGAGTGAACTTCAGCGCTGGCGAGAGGTGCCGGATCGACAGCCCCGAGAACCGAAGCCCCCTCTTCATCCGCAGGGCAGGTACAGCGACAGGACAGGAGTCCCTCCACATACCTCACCTCCTGGAGTGGGGGCTCGGCCAGCCCATGGCTCCTCTTCCACAGCTGCCGATGAGCTATTTGTCCCAGCTGGATGCTGGGTTTGTTTGCAGGCATCGATATAGCTAGGAAGTGACAGGAGACCCAGTAACTTCATTTCATACATGGGGCTACTGAACGGTCGTCTTCTGGGGAGCAGCTTTATCATATCATATATATAGCAATAGGCCCATCTAACCCGGTATCCTGCTACTCTGGATCAGAACCGTGGCCTCGTCTAACGTGGCCTCCTCCCTGCTGTCTGGATCAAACCAGCAGGTCCTTCTAGTGAGGTATCCCGTCTGCCTGGTCTCTTGACAGGTGCCTACACCAGTTGCTTCAGAGGATGGTGTAAGGTGCACCCCCTAGTGGACAGTTAAGGAATAATCTCTCAGGCAAAGTTTGTTCCTAACCCTAAAGAAGCCTAACATGCTTTATAAATGCTGTATGCCATCCCAGAGGCAGCTGCATCTTAGCCCTGCACTATGTAGGATCCCAAAGCCCTCTAGAGGCTGCATATACAGTAATCATTCGCTCTGTGGTGAGATGCAGCTGCCTGTATACAGCTGCTGTGCCCCACCCTAGAGGCAGCTGCATTTCATCACTGAGTGAATGATTACTGTATATCTGTGGCTCAGACGTTTTTTACTGATGACCCCTTTCACTTAGCAAGTCTCTGAGTGCAACCTGCCCCCCCCTTACAAATTAGAAAACTTTTTAATATACTTAACACCATTATAAATGCTGGAAGCAAAGCGGGGTTTGGGATGGAGGTTGACAGCTCATAACCCCCCATTTAATAACCTCGTGACCCCATGAGGGGTCCTGACCCCCAGTTTGAGAACCCCTGCTGTGTATGCAGCCTCTAAAGGACTTTGGGATCCTTTAGCTGCAAAGGTGTAGAAAAGATGTCGTATTTGTTCTGTTGCCCGTGCTGACATCACAAGACGGGGTGGGAATGAATCCAGCTGAGCCAGCAGTTGGCTGTGACTCAGTTTGCCTCATGTTGTTGAAATGTGTGTGGACACCTGCACTCCAATCGTGGTTTGGGGGAGGGGACTCCAGCTCCCATCTTCCTTCACCCTAGATGCCTGACGTAACTCATGTGATCACTGTACAGAATTGGGATGGGTGTGGATGGATATTAACAAGGCTCCTTCTCCAAAGGCAGCTGTCTAATCAACCAGGATGCAATTTCCTCAGGGTAACATGATTCCTGTACATTGCTGCCTTACAGCTTGGAGTCTAGAAGGGATTTTCCCCTAATGATCAATCCCAGAGCTAGTACGCTTGGTCTGTTTGTAGTACAGTAGCACCCCCAGCTGAGTTGTGCCAGGCACTGCCCAGACACACAGCAAGAGACAGTCCCTGCCCCACCTGAGATCAGGACCCAGTTGTGCCAGGTGCTGCCCAGACACATAGCGAGAGACAGTCCCTGCCCCAGCTGAGATCAGGGCCCTATCGTGCCAGGCACTGCCCTGACACAATGAGAGACCGTCCTGCCCCAAAAAGCTTTCAATATAACTAGACGAGGCAAAGGAAGGACCATTCTAGTTTTTCAGGTGAGGAAAGTGAGACATGGAGAGTCAAAGTAATTTGTCCGCAGTCACGCAGGGAGCGTGCAGCAGTGCTGGGAATTGAACTCGGCACTTGCAAGACCCGGCCTGGCGCCTTAACGTAAAATTGTCCGTCTCACCCTCTGCAGTTGTTCCTCCACAGAGGCCTCCAATCCTTCGACCAGCCTTTGTGCCTCACGTCCTGCAGAGATCTGGTAAGCTTCCCCCAGCCAGCCCCATCTTTACCCTAGTCTGACGTGCCTGGATCCTACCGGTGCTCTCCCTTTCAATCAGGAGACACTGTTGAGTCTGAAATCGTATTTCAATAAAAATTCCCTCCCAAGTTTTCCTGTTAAGTGAGATTCTTGCAGAAATAAATCAGTCCTTTCTATAAATCCTGAGGTTAGCAGTTTGTTTGCTCTATTCTTTGCCAAGGGACGGGGAGACCAGTTTCACTTCCTGGATTCTCCCCCACTCAGGGGAAATGCTAAAACCCAAGCAGAAGGGGGAAGCCTGTTTTCCTGGTGACTTTTGCAGTTTGCTTGCTCCTTTCTTTGCACTTCCTAAAGCCCGGGGGTGGGATGGTTGGTTTCACTTCCTGTTGGGTAAGTTTCGCTTCCTGGATTTCCCTCCGTCCTTGAATCAGGGGCTAGTCCCAGAATCGAAGCCATGGGGGAAATCCTGTTGTCATCGAAATGGAAAACCCGTTTCTGTCTGTCTGTCTCTTAGCCGGTGCTCCCAGGCCCCTGGCGATGCGTCCGCCTCACCACCCAGCCATGGTGGGGCCCCCCATGCCCGGTCCCCAGGGCCCACAGATGATGATGGGACCCCCCATGCAGAGGCCCCCTGGCCCGCTCATGGGGCCCATAGGGCCGATGAGAACTGGCCCACCGGTGAGTGTGTTTCCTTCAGCGATGGGGCGTGAGGGAGGGACAGGAGCCAAGGGGGAGTGGCGGTTGGCTCTCACCGGCCAGGGTGGAAGGCGTCTGTGGCTGTATCGTGGGATCAGATCTGGAGCGAAGCAGGGTTGGGGCTGGTCAGCAGTTGGAGGAGAGGCAAATGGAATGATAGGTGCTGCAGGAAGCTGTGGGGGAGTGCTTTCCTTTTGCAGTCAGGGCTGGCCCCAATGCAGCGCTAGGGGGCGCTGTGCTGCAGGGAGCGGGGTTGGGGGCGCTCTCCCCTGGCAGTCAGGGCTGGTCCCAATGCCTTAGCATGGCACTAGGGGGCGTTGTGCTGCAGGGAGCGTGGCAGAGGGCTCAATAGAGGGGGCACTGTCCTCTCACGGTCAGTGCTGGCTGACCCTGATGTGTGTGGCTGCTCACTAACTGCTATGTCCCACCCCAGAGGCAGCTGCATTTCAGCACTGGGGGTATCGCCAGCTGTGGGGGTGGGGCTGTATTCTAAGCTCTGTCCAGCAGCTGGACAGAGGCACAGGCCGGGAGCCATTGTCTGCATAAGCCCCTTTAATGGCCCTGCTGTTGCTGCTGTTTAGGTGGGACCCGGGGTCCCCATCGGCCCGATCACTCCTCTGATGTCGGTTCCCCGCCCCCCCGTCGTGGCAGCTCCGAAGATAAACCCCATGGTGATCCAGGCAGCTCCCACAGTGTACTCCGCACCGCCAGTGAAAAAGCAGGAGGTATGGGGGGGCAGGGGGGCAGAGGCAGAGCCTTCTGCCACTCAAACTCCATTGGTGCTTGAGAGGAAGGCATTAAACACACCCACCCACCCCTGCCCAAAACACATCTCGCTGGGCGATCCCACCCCATGGGGGAGCTTCCTTCCTTCCCCCAGTCTGTGGCTTTACTCCTGCTCTGAAGTACGAGGGTCAAGAGCTCTGATCCTTGCCAGTCTTGTATGGGGTTATTAAATGTCTAATGCCCCTTTAAAACATACCAAGCTGCTTGCCGCCATGTCCCTGTGGCTGGGAGGTGTCCTGGAAGGGCTCTGGTGCTGGCCAGGTTGGGGGGAATGCGGGGAGATTGGTGGGGCAGGTGCCAGCCACACCCCTGCAGCAGGGGTGGAGGGGTCCTGTGGGACGGACTTTAATGTCCCCCAGGATTCCATCCTTATAGTACCTCGGATTTCGCCCACTGCATCGATGTTTGGAGGATTAGTGTGTGGAACATGGAGAACTCCCAGTACATGTCCCAGTGGCAGGGAGTTCCGCAGGTTTGACCCAGTGATTTTGTGTTAACCCCATTAACTGCCCCAGTGGCAGGAAGTCCCATGGGCTAGCTCGGGTGTCCTATTGGTTAATTCCTTTATAATAACCTGTCCTGGCTGGATAGTCAGTTAACTCAGGGCTTCAGGCTGACCTTCCATGGGATTCATGGGGCAGGGAGTCCCATGGGCGAACACACCTCCCCCCCTTGGGCTGGATTAATGAGGTGGGGAGTTCCCCAGGACAGTCCCTCTGCAGTCGCATGGCCCTTAGTGTCAGTCTCCCTGTTGCTGCAGGAGGAGCTGCGGGAGCAGCCCCCGCCAGTTGTGGTGGAAGAGAAGGAGCCGGGGGGGCTGGAGGAGGCTGTGATTGGCCCCAGCATGCCTGAGGTGGAGCCTGTGATGCCAGAGGCCAGGGCGCTGCCTGCACTGCGTGGGCCTGAACTGGGGCCCATACGGGGGCGGCGGCCCCGGGGCCCTGAACCTGGATTTGCACCAATGGAGGTAAGGGGACATCTTTCTCTGGTGGAGGGGATCGGGGGAGGGGTATGTGCAGGAGTGGGGGGAGAACAGGAGGGCTGGGGTGGGGAATGTCGTGGGATGGTTGTGGGGGGACACCAAGTGGGAGGGAGTCTGGGCTGGAGTGGGGGGAACCACGGGAGGGGTGGGGATGGGGTCTCTCCAGAGACACCAGGGGTACCAATAGGGAAGGAAGGTCCTGTGCCAAGGCAGGGGGCTGCTCCTACAGGGGGTGGGGGTCTGTACCGTGGGAGTGCTGCATGCGGGGGTGGGGCTTGGTCTGCACTGTGTGACGGTCCCTCCTCTGCCAATGGGCTGCAGGCTGGGGAAATCCCAAGGGGAATGGGGGGGTTCCCCATGGCTCAGTCAGGATCTCACCGGGGCAGGGGGTGGTCTGGAGCCAGCCCTGGGCCAGAGGGCTGTGAACTCCCTGGAAGGAGTGGAGAGCGCGGGGACGGCTGCTCTGGGGTCTGCCCTGGGGGATGTGGCTGACCTGTGGCCTCCCCAGCCCGTGGTGGAACCCGTGGTCGAGGACAAGAAGAAAAGCAGGCAGGAAAAGCTGAAGCGCTGCATCCGCACGGCCGCCGGGAGCTGCTGGGAGGACTCCAGCCTGCTGGAGTGGGACTCAGGTGAGTGGGGGGCAGGGTCGTGATCAGCTGGAGTGGGGGGGGGGGGAATCCCAGGTGGCTGGGGTGGGGTGGGGTGGGGAGGGGAGAGATTGCCAACTGGAGCGGGGTGCAAGCGAACCCCAGGATATTATTGCAGTTGTTTTGTGGGACTCCCTGCTGCAGGGGGATGATGATGAGGGTTGACCTCTGGGACTCCCTGCCACTGGATATTGCTGGGGGTTGACCTGGCAGGCTCATTCCATGCAGCAGATGCTGAGCTCTGTGGCAGAGGATTGCCATGATCACAGGCAGGGGTCCTATGGCCCTGCCCCACTCTCAACCTCCCTCCCCCACCCCATATCCCAGATGACTTCCGGATCTTCTGCGGGGACCTGGGCAATGAGGTGAACGACGACATCCTGGCCCGGGCCTTCAGCCGCTACCCATCCTTCCTCAAGGCCAAGGTGATCCGGGACAAGCGCACCGGCAAGACCAAGGGCTACGGGTTTGTCAGCTTCAAGGACCCCAACGACTACGTCCGCGCCATGCGCGAGATGAACGGTGAGGGGAGGTGGGACAGGTGCTGGGGTGGGGGGAGGGGGAATTAGGCTGTCGCACCACGAATGCGTGGGGCAGGTTACCCTGTCTTGCTCCAATTGGCTTGGCTGCCCTTTGACTCTGCTGCCACCCCCAGCGTGTATCTTGGGCGGGGGGGCTGAGGTTGCCCAAAGGTGACTTACGGGGGGAGGGCCTGGCGGGCAATGCAAGCTATGGGGCAGCTCAGCCCCACATAGAGCCCTGGCGATTGGCCTGAGAGAAGCACCCAGCCTGATGAAGGGAACGACCTGAGGGTGTTTGAAGAGCACCTCTGCGGAGGAAGGTGCAGCCAGATCTGTGTGGTGTCTCCTCCCGTTCCCCCCCCCCCCCCATTCTGGGAGCGTCTACTGACCCCCTGCTCCCATCTGTGTCCCCCGACAGGTAAATACGTGGGCAGCCGCCCCATCAAGCTGCGCAAGAGCATGTGGAAGGATCGCAACATCGATGTGGTGCGCAAGAAGCAGAAAGAGAAGAAGAAACTTGGACTGAGATAGCCGGGGGGGAGGATCCTGCCAGCCCGGGCCCCCGCCCTGGGGCCCCCAGCAGACGCCAGGCAGACTTGGCCCCCGCCTGCCCTGGGGGCTTTGGTGCTGGGTGGCCAGCTTCCTTGCCCCGTTCCATCTGTCTTGTATGACAGCTCCTGGCCCAGGGCAGATTCCTCCATGGACTCTCCAGTGCCCCCTTGGGTGCTGCCCGGGGGTACCGGTGCCCATGGGGGTTGGGCGTGTGTGTAATGCTCCCCCCAGGCCAGGGACTCCACTCTAATAAATGTTCTTTTTTTTTTTCTTTTGTACTTACAAGCCCAATGGCTGGAGTTTCCCTTGCTGTTTCTCCCTAGGGCGTGGTATGGGGGGTGCTCCCCAGGTCCATACCGCCTCCTGCTGGAGGGTCGGAGCTCAGGGATGGGGATGGGTCTAAAGCCTCATTCGCTTCCCTCCAACCCAGGGTAGGGGGGCAGAGGGAGAGGTGATTACTGCGAGCACCAAGCTGTTCCCCCACAGAGCTGAAGAATTCGGGTCAGTGCCCATCAATCCCACCCTGCAGCCCAGCTCTGGGCTCCCCCGCTTCCCCCCAGCTCTGCCAGTGTCCCTCAATCCTGGCTCAATAGCCCCCTGCTGGGCCTGACCTGGGCTCCCCCCCTGCAAGCTCTGCCAGTGCCCCTCTATCCTGACCTGCAGCCCCTGCTGTGGGGGGCTGGCTGTGTGCTGGATCTCAAGCTCTGACCTGGTAAGGCAGCCCAGGTATGTGTAACCCAGGGGTGGGCAAACTACAGGCTGTGTCCAGCCTGTCAGACCTTTTAATCCGGCTCTTGAGCTCCCGCTGGGGACCAGGGTCAGGGACTTGTCCCACTCCACAGGGCTCCCGGGAGCCAGTGGCATGTCCCTGCTCCGGCTCCTACGCGTAGGGGCAGCCAGGGGATTCTGCATGCTGCTGCCCCTGCCCCAAGCACTGGTTCTGCAGCTCCCATTGGCTGGGAACCAATGGGAGCTGTAGGGGTGGTGCCTGTGGATAGGGCAGTGCACAAAGCCCCCTTGCTGGTGCCCCCTCCCATACTCCTAACCCCTCTGCTCCAACCCCAGCCCCTACCCGCGCCCACCCCACAATCTCCTGCCTCAGCCCGGAGCCCCCTCCCATATGACAAACCCCTCATTTCTGGTCCCACCTTGGAAGCCGCACCCCCCCAGCCCGGAGCCCTCACACTCCCCATCCTGCATCTCAACCCATAGCCCCTTCCTGCACCCTGAACTCTTTTCTGGCCCCACCCAGGAGCCCACACTCCCTCTGCACCCCAATTTCATGAGCATTCATGGCCTGCCATACAATTTCCATATGCAGATGTGGCCCTCAGGCTAAAAAGTTTGCCCACCCCGGCTGTAACCCCTAGGGGAGGGAGCCCTGCAGTGTCTCCACCAGGGGGCAGTAGCACTGTGCAGCTGGAAGGTAGGTGCAGATGGCAGTAGGTGTGGCAGGCTGTAGGGCCACCTGCTGGTGAATGGTGGGAACTTGTCTGCAGTCTTCCCTGGAGCCAATCTCAGCCCCCCCTCCCTTGCTCTAACAATTGGACCCCACTCCCCTCCCAGGGCTGGAGATAGAACCCAGGTGTCCTGGCTCCCTGGCCTGACCTCAGCCCCCATTCAGCCAGACACCCCTGCCTGTAGATGATCCCTGCCCAGCCCCAGCTGGTCTGGAGGACTGGGGGCAGGAAGCTGTGAGCACTGATACCCCCCATGCATGGGGGGACAGGATTGCTCTGACAGCGCAGGGGCAGCTGTATCCTTTGGGGGAAGGAGTAGGGGGAGTGGAGGTCTGCCCCCACTTAGCTCCTCCCCCCGTTTTCCCAGTTGGAACCCCTTCCCATGGGAGCAGCCGGCACCCCCTGCTGGAGAGAGCCAGCCCGGAGCGGCCCCAAGCCTTGAGGCTGTGTCCGCTAAGGGAGATTCTCCTGGAGCTTTGGGTGTGAAGTAGAGCGAGCCCCCCCTCTTCTGCCCCCCTCCACTGCCGCCCCCCCTTCCCACCGGTTGCTAGGCCTCCCCACAGCTAGTCCCTTTCCCTACCCCCTTCGGCCTCCCCAGCCAATCTCCCCAACATGCCAGGGCCTCAACCCCCTGCCAGCAGGAGGACCCCCCCCACCTTGCATGCATAAACAATGTCACACATAACAACACAACCTTTAATACATGGGGTGAGGGAGGAGGCATATTACAGTCTGGGGGTGTGGGGGGTGTCACGGATACAATCCCCCTGCGGAGCAGTGGTGCTAGGATGTATCCGCACACCCCTCTCCCAGGGAGGGGGAGACCCGCGGGCCCTGCCTGGGGGGGCCGGGATGAGGGGATGGAGGGGGAGACACCTGGCTGGGATTCCTGATCCAGCCCTGCATGTCCAGAGGCAATAGCCGATTCCCCCCCCCCCCCCCCCCCCCAGGCACCACCACACAACAGCTGGCCTCGCCCAACAAGCGCCCCCTAGTGTCTGGAGGTAACAGCTGGCTCCCGTAACAACAGGGGTCCACCCTCAGCTGGCTCCCAAAGGCAACAACCCGCCTCCCCCCCTGCCAGGTGTCCACTCTCAACAGCCAGCAGCCTCACCCAAAGGGTGTTCTCAGCCAGCCCCCAACAGGCATCCCGCAGTGTTCAACAAGCACCTGCTGTGGGAGCTGGGAGCCACGCTGGGAGGAGGAGGGGAGGCCTCTGCGCAAGGCAGGGTTGGGGGGGGGGTGTTCTGCCTTCTGGGAGGGACAGCTGCCGGTGAATCCCTCATTTAAAAAACCCTGCTCCCCAATTAATCCCAGCCTCCTGGGCTGTTCCCCCTGGCCCCGCCCAGTCCAGAGCACAAGGAGTCCAGCCAGAGTGGGGAGCCCCTGGCCCCCCAAAACCTGAGGTGGCGGGGGGGCACCCCACTATGGGGGCAGGGGAGGGAAGGGGGAGGTCTTTCCAGGCACTGGTTGGGTTGGAGGCAGCAACAGGGGTGGGGACAGGCAGCAGAAGGATCCCACGTGGCTATCCATGTTTGGGGAGACCCCACCCATGGCTAGTAGGCATTTAGGCAGCCCCCATGTGCTGTGGCACCCGCTTCCTCCCCGTGGCTAGTAGGAGTTCAGGTGGCCAGCGGCAGGCTGGGGCATCCCCGTGGCTAGTAGAAGGAGTTCAGGTGGCCGGCGGCAGGCCAAGCGCGCCCCGTGGCGAGTAGAAGGAGTTTAGGTGGCCGGAGGTGGGCCAAGCATCCACTCATGGCTAGTAGAAGGAGTTCAGGTGGCCGGCGGCGGGCCAAGCGCCCCCCTCTCCCCACCGTGGCTAGTAGAAGGAGTTCAGGTGGCCGGCGGCAGGCCGGGCGCCCCCCATGGCTAGTAGAAGGAGTTCGGGTGGCCAGCAATGGGCCGGGCACCGCCCATGGCTAGTAGAAGGAGTTCAGGTGGCCGGCGGCAGGCCGGGCGCCCCCCACGGCTAGTAGAAGGAGTTCAGGTGGCCGGCGGCGGGCCGGGGCACGGGCGGGCTCTGGTAGAGGTTCCCGGAGCCGGCGTTCCAGTAGGGCGAGGGGGGCCCGAAGAAGCCGGCGGAGGAGACGGGCAGCTGGGCGGCGTGGCTGAGGCCAAAGCCCACCTTCTGCTGGTGGTAGGAGGGCAGGTAGGACAGGTCGGCCGGGTGGTACTTGTAGAGGGGCCCCTCGCCCGGGTGGTTCTGCTGGGCCTGGCTGATGCCCTGGAAGTCGAACTTGTAGGCATAGCGCTTCCCGTGCACCTTGGTCATGATGCTCTTGTCGTAGTAATAACGCAGGGCCCGGCTCAGCTTGTCGTAGTTCATGTTGGGTTTGCTCTTGCGCTCGCCCCAGCGTCTCGCCACCTCGTCCGGGTCGGTCATCTTGAACTCCCCGTTGGTGCCCTCCCACGTGATGCACCCGGCGTTGCTGCTGTCCGACAGCAGCTCCAGCAGGAACTGCCACAGCTGGATCTGGCCGCTGCCTGCCGGGCGGGGAGACGGGTTTGGTACCGGCGGGGCTCTGCTTTGCCCCAGGAAGGAGGGCCCGGGTTTGTTATTGTAGGGTCTTTTCTGGCTGGTTATGGTAGGGTCTGCTGGGTGCACTTGTTTGTTAACGGAGGGGCTCTGCTTTGCCCCAGGAAGGAGGGCCCGGGTTTGTTATTGTAGGGTCTCTAACCCGCTAGAGCCCACTCCCCTGCCAGAGCCACGGACAGAACGCAGGAGTCCTAACTCCCAGCCCCTCTTCCTCCCTCCGGCCCCGGCTCTAACCCACTAGCTCCCGCTCCCCTGCCAGAGCCAGGGATGGAACCCAGGAGTCTTGGCTCCCAGCCCCCCATGTCTCTAGCAATTACAAAGAACCTCACCCCATCCCAAGCTGTAATAGGTGCCCAGACCCACCTGGGTTTGCCAAGCGGCTGCTGGTGGGTCCCAGGACCTGGTATGGATCTGGGGGGTGAAAAGGGAGTTGGGGGGAGTTAGTTTTGGGGGGCGTCAGAGACACCCCCTTTGCCCCCCGCTGGGACCCATTCCACCCCAACCCCCATCATGGAAACCTAGAAGTCCTGATTCCCAGCCCCTCATCTAACCCTCTGACCCCCCAGGTCCCCATGACCCATCATTCCCAGATGGGCTTCACACCAAATCCCCAGTTGCCCCCAACCCAATCAGACCGCCCCCCAGGGCCCAACCCAAAACTCTCCATAAGCAGCCCTAAACCTTGCACTGTTTGGGGACTGACGTACCCCTCAAAATGCATTCAATACCCCCTTCTGTGGGTTCGCAGCACTCCCTGACCTTGGTGTGTGGGGCAGGGGGCCATTCATGGGGCAGAGAGGGGCCTAGCTATGGGGGCAATCTCCCCCCACCCCACTCCCCAAGCAGAGGCACCCACCTGTTACGATCCGCGGGGATTCACTCGTCCGATTCACCCCCTGGATCTGCGGGGGGGACCCTGGCGGGTGGGGGAGAAATGTGGGGGGAGAGCGTTAGGGGAGGGGAAGGACCCGCCAGCCGGCACCCCGGGGAAGTAGCAGGAGCCATCCCCTGAGTTGGATTCAGGGGTTTTTAGCCAGCCATGGGGCAGTGCCCCCTGGGGAGACACGGGCGGGGGGAGATGATGGTACCTTTGGGGCCCCCGCTGAGGGAGCCGCTCCAGCTGCTTCGCCTGATTTCCTCATAGGGGGATTCTGCAGGCCAATAGTGGGGTGGGGGGGAAACAGTCCATTAGTAGTGGCGAAGGGGAGGGGAACCGCTGCTGGAGAGGACAAGCCCTGCTCTGTGTCTGGTCTCAGCCCCCCCCCTCCTTTCTAACCACTAGACTCCACTCCCCACCCAGAGCTGGAACAGAACCCAGGAGTCCGGGCTCCCAGCCCCCTCCCCTTTCTAATCGCTCAACCCCACTCCTCTCCCACAACTGGGGAGCAAACCCAGCAATCCTGGCTCCCAGCCCTCCCCCCCACTAGTTCCCATTTCCCCACTCCCGCCCCAGCCCCACTGGGATAGAACCCAGGAGTCCCCCCTCCCCCAAGCTGGGATAGAACCCAGGAATCCTGCCCCAGTTCCCATTCCCCACCCAGAGCTGGGCTAGAACCCAGGAGTCCTGGCTCCCAGCCCATGGGGGAGGGGCAGGGCTGGTGTTCGCAGACTCACCTGTTTTCACCTGCACCCGTGGTGGGGGTGCGGGGGGCTGAGGGGTCACAGCTGGGGCAGCCGGGTAGGTGAAGGTTGGGCTGCCTGTGGGGGAGAGACAAGAGAGCACTGGTCAGAGCTGGGGTCTGCCCAGAGCACCACAGACAGGGTGGAGCAGGGGGGCCCTGCAATAGGTGGGTGGGGCTCCTGCAGGAGGGGGCGTGGTTTATGGTGATGGGCGGGGCTCCCTGGTTTAGGGGTGGGGCTCCTATGTCTGGGGGCCTAGGTCCTGTGTCTGGGGATGGGGCTCCCAGACATGTATGGTCATCCTGATCCTCGGGGGCTCCCTGTCTGTGGGGAAGCAGGGCTCCCTATCTGTGGGTGGGGCTCCCTGTGGATGGGCAGGGCTCCGTGGGGCCTGGCCGTACTTTGCCGCAGGTAGGCCAGGTGGGACAGCAGCACGTCAGCGTTGTAGGGCGAGGTGAGGCGCAGGAAATCCTCCTTGCCCATCTTGCACAGCTCCTTGCCGTCCACGTGCTGGAACAGGCCCACGTCCACCTCCTCCAGCACGTACTCCTTCACCGCCCAGTCCAGCCACTGGCGCACATGGTCCTGGGTCCACACGCCAGGGTCTGCAGGAGACAGACAGACATGGGGAGTCCAGCCGGCCCGGATGCCTGGGTTCCTGAGAGCTCCACCCAACCAAAGCATGGCACACACATGCACAGGGGAGTCCAGCTGGCCCGGACATCTGAGTCCCTGAGACACAACCACCCTGTCACAGCTTTGCTGGGAAGGGGGAAAGAATCCAGCCAGCCCGAATGCCTGGGTCCCGGGGTACAGTTGCCCTCCCAGACCACAGCGCACACACACAGGAGTAGGGAAAGGATCCAGCCAGCCTGGACACCTGGGTTCCAGAGGAACAGCAACCCACTCTGAGCCTCGCTTGGAGAGGGAAGAGGCCAACTGGCCCTGGACACCTGGGTTCTTGGGCTGCAGCTACCCGCCCAGAAACGTGGCACGGTGAGCTGGACGTTTGGGTTCCTGGGAGGCATTTACCAACCCTGCCCCAAACAAGGAAATAAGAGACCCCAGCACTGGGCCACGTGTCAGGGGAGGGGGCAGGGGCTGTCCTACAGTGAAAGGCCATCGGGGGGCACGCGGGGAAGGGAGGGTGCACTCACCCGCTGGGACGATAACCCTCTTCTCCTCGCTGGGGGGGTTGGCTGGGGGGCTGCTCCGCTGGTCACTGTAGCTGGCTGGGTAGGGGATGGGGTGTGGGTCGCTCCCAGATTTGCTCCGTCTGGATACACTGCAGTCCACGGGGGACTGTCTGCAGGGTGACAGGGGGTGGGTGAGGACTGGATCCGACCACAAGAGGACTGAGTTTCGCCAGTCTCAGACCCACTGTGTAGGCGGGGGCAGGGCAGGGCTAGCAGGGGCTGCGGGTCAAGAGTGAGAAGCACCAGCAGGGCTGTGTGTTGGCCGGTCCCACCCCACCCTGTGGCACTGAGGCCGGCTGGGCTCCTAGTGCAGCCCCTGGCGCTGACCGAGGTTTCCTGGGGATGGGATGAGGGAAGTGAGTCATTTCCTGCGGGCGCCGGTTCAGCCCAGCTCTACTGAGCTGGGAGTTGTGGACCCTGGGCGGGCAGGGGGGCTGTGCCGGGTCCTTCTGCTGGGCCACGGGCGCAAGAACCTCCCCCTCTGCAGCCTGGCTCCATGGGCCAGTTCCCACAGTCCCCAGTGGCAGAGAGTCCCACAGGCTAACCACACTAATATCCAGTGACAGGGAGTCCCACAGGTTAACCCCACTAATCCCTGGTAGCAGGGAGTCCGGCAGGTTATCCCCAGCTGCCTGACCTGGAGCAGTTGACAGTCTCATTCTCCCTCTTCACAGAGTGCCCCCTGCTGGTCTGACTGGACCAGTCCGGCTCCCCCAGCACCGGCCTCTCCTTGCAGTTGTACTCCTCGTCAGGGGGCACCTCTGTCTTCATGAGGTGGGGAGGGCCGTAGGAGGGGTCGAATATGGACTGGTCCTCGCTCACCACAGAAAGTGCCTCCTGCAGGGGGGGACATATGGCGAGGTTAGAGTGTCCCACCCCACTCCCTGCAGCACGGCGCCCCCTATTGTGCCCTCCCACTCCCTGCAGCATGGCACCCCCTATTGAGCCCCCCCACCCCACTCCCTGCAGCACAGCACCCCCTATTGTGCCCCCCCAACTCCCTGCAGCATGGCGCCCCCTACTGAGCCCCCCCACCCCACTCCCTGCAGCCCGGTGCCCCCTGCCGAGCCCCCCACCCAACTCCCTGCAGCACAGTGCCCCCTACTTAGTCCCCCACCCAACTCCCTGCAGCACGGCGCCCCCTATTGTGCCCTCCCACTCCCTGCAGCATGGCACCCCCTATTGAGCCCCCCACCCCACTCCCTGCAGCACAGCGCCCCCTATTGAGCCCCCTCCACCCCACTCCCTACAGCACGGCGCCCCCTATTGTGCCCTCCCACTCCCTGCAGCACGGCGCCCCCTATTGTGCCCTCCCACTCCCTGCAGCATGGCGCCCCCTATTGAGCCCCCCCACCCCACTCCCTACAGCACAGCGCCCCCTATTGTGCCCTCCCACTCCCTGCAGCACGGCGCCCCCTATTGAGCCCCCCCATCCCACTCCCTGAAGCCCGGTGCCCCCTGCCAAGCCCCCCACCCAACTCCCTGCAGCACAGTGCCCCCTACTTAGTCCCCCACCCAACTCCCTGCAGCACGGCGCCCCCTATTGTGCCCTCCCACTCCCTGCAGCATGGCGCCCCCTATTGAGCCCCCCCACCCCACTCCCTGCAGCACGGCGCCCCCTGCCGAGCCCCCCACCCAACTCCCTGCAGCACGGCATCCCCTATTGAGCCCCCCCACCCTATTCCCTGCAGCACAGTGCCCCCTGCCGAGCCCCCCACCCAACTCCCTGCAGCATGGCGCCCTCTGCTGAGCCCCCCACCCTGCTCCCCACAGCATGGCTACGTTGCGCTGGGACATCGGGGCCAGCCCTGACTGCCAGGGTGCCCTGGTGTTATTCTGCCCCCACCAGGGTGGTGTCTGTCCCCGGCCGTTAGTCCTGGGGGGAGGGGACGTTTCCTGTTTGCCGGCGCCCGAGCGTGGTTGCCAGCAGGTGACAGTTCAGTGGCCTGTGCGGCTTCCTGCCTGGGCTGGCCCTGCCTGGGCTGCAAACACCCACCCACCCCACCCCGGGACTGAGGCCGAAGGAACCTTGTCTGCCGTGTGACACTCCCAGGCCAGGTACAGTTACACGGACACACATGCTGCACCCACCCACACACCAATGCCCAGCTGGACACCCACACGGCACAGCCTGACGCATGCACCGAGCCAATCCCAGAGAGACAATCACACACACACACAGACAATCCCAGAGAGACAATCCCAGAGAGACAATCACACACACACACACACACACACACAGATACAATCCCAGGACACACACACACACACACACAGAGACAATCGCACACACAGAATCCCAGACACACACACACACACACACAGACAATCCCAGAGAGACAATCACACACACACACACACACACAGAGACACACACACAGACCACACACACACACACACACAGACCCCACAGAATCCCAGACACACACACACACACACACACACACACACAGACAATCCCAGAGAGACAATCACACACACACACACACACACACAGATACAATCCCAGGCACACACACACACACACACACACACACAGACAATCGCACACACAGAATCCCAGACACACACACACACACACACACAGACAATCCCAGAGAGACAATCACACACACACACACACACACACAGACAATCGCACACACAAAATCCCAGACACACACACACACACGCACTTGTGCAGGCCTACACAGCTATAAATGGTCCGCACACATATGGCTGACACGCTTGCACAGTGCATGCAAAACCATGTGCAAGATGTACAGTCGGTCACACCCAGTGCGCTTGTGAAAATGTACAGTCAGAGACACACACATACATAATGCACTGTAATTGCGGGGAGGGATAGCTCAGTGGTTTGAGCATTGGCCTGCTAAACCCAGGTTTGTGAGTTCAATCCTTGAGGGGGCCATTTAGGGATCTAGGCCAAAAATTGGGACTGGTCCCCCTTTGAGCAGGGGGTGGGACTAGATGACCTCCTGTGGTCCCGTCCAACCCTGATATTCTATGATTCTATGGGTGGGGGGTACAGTTGGCTGCACCTGCTGGGTACATCCCATTGTATCTATTTGACTGATGGAGAAACCGAGACATGGGGTGGGGGGAGGTAACTTGTCCAAAGTCACATAGTCTATGGCAGATGCAGGAACAGGACCCAGGAGTCCCAGGTCCCAGCCCCCTCCACAGCCCACTCCCGTCCCAGAGATGGGGACAGATAGAACCCAGGAGTCCCCCCTCTCAAGACCCCACTCCCTTGTCGTGAGCTGGGGATAGAACCCAGGAGTCCTGGAGCCCAGCCTCCCCCCACTCCACAGGGGGCGTGGGCGGGGCTGTGACACTGGGATCCCTGGGCAGTCAGATGTGGCACCAGCCCAGGCAGGGAGGGGCTATGCAGCCTCAGCGCAGTGGAGCCGAGGGAGCAGAGAAAGGCCCTGAAGCCTGGCCAGAGGTCAGAGAAGGAGTCTGCAGGTAGCCTCCTGGGAAAGCAGAAGTACAGGCAGAAAACACAGGCAGGGAAAGTGCCAACACCCATGGAGGTACAGCCAGGGCATCACAGGGACAGGCGGGAAACACAGACAGAGGAGCAGCGGTGACAGCAGCAGACAGGGAGGGCATCTCAGGCTCCAGCATAGACTACAGGCAGGGAGTCCCGGGTACAGGCAGGGAAGCAGAGGAGTGGAGGTCCCACACAGGTTCATAGCTCAAACTCGCCCCTCCCGCAAGGCCCCCCTCCCGCCCTTGCCTTGGGTTATATGCCCCAGCCTGTAGCTAGCAAAGCCCCAAGCTGCAAGGTTCCCCACACCCCACTGCTTGCAGCGCCCCCTGCTGGAGGATGATAGAACTGGGCACTGCAAGCTCCCCCCACTCCTTGCGGTGCCCCCTGTTGGCAGTGGGAGCTGCAGGAATCTCAGGATGACCCAGGCACCAGGGGAACCCTCCCAAGCCCAGCCTGACTCGATTGACACTGACCTCCCCCCATCCCCCGCTATGTGTGCTCCTGCTGCAGGGCTGTGGGGGGGGCTCTGATCTGATCTGCCTCTAGGTTCCCCCCACACACACATACAGTTGCACGCTGGGTGTGGGCTCTTTGCACAGAAAGCAGAAGTCTCAGGGGAGCTGGGCTGATCTCTGTTTGCAGCCGGAGCTGCTGCGCTGGAGATGTTATCGGGCGCCCAAGCATTGGGGGGGGAGGGGGGCCTGGCTGCGGTTACTCCCTTGCCGTGCCTGCCCACCCCCGAGGCTGCTGCTCTGCGCAGGGCTCTGCTGACTTTGCATGCAGCATCCCTTCTTGCAAAGGCAGGTAGGAGCCGTGAGGGGCAAGGCGGGGGGGGCTCCAGGGAAGGGAGGAACACCCACCCGGAGGAGGCACGATGGAGGGTGCCCCACGCAGGACAATGCCCACGGGGACAATGCCCACGCGACGTGGCATGGAAGTGCCGGTGTGGCACCAGACGTGGCGCCCAAGGGGGGCACCAGCCCTGCAGTGCTGACCGGAGGGGCTGCAGTACATTGCATTCATGGGATTCGTTGTGGGGTGCCGTGGAGGGGCCACCGATGATGCCCGAGCTGCGCAGTAATCAAGAAGGCCACTGGGGCACATGGTACCATGCAGCTGGCCCGTGGGGCACAGGCTGCATGACATGGCAAGCGCACGCACGGCACAAAGCACATGTAGGGAGCTCCACGCAAGGCCTGCTTGCACACCAGATGGCACAGGGCACGGCAGAGGTGCCGGGGTGGCATGCAAAGGGCTGGTGAGTTACGTTGCACAAGCTTTGGGTGCCCATCTGGGGTGAGGTGGCCTGCGGACACAGATGCCCATGTGCGGAACCATCTGCCTGTGCCCAAGGCAGGGCCATGCCGTGCAGCACAGAGTCCCGTATTGTGCACGCACAAGCAGTGGAATCGTGGTCCCCCCATTGCACGACGGATGGCCCACGTGCCCCACAAGCGCTCGTGTCACCATCAGTGTGTGCACAAAGACAGCCCTCCCTACAACAGAGGTGCCATTCACGTCACAACCTGCGTGTGCCCAAGCCCGGGCCCCATTGCAGGAGGGATGCGCCCAAGGATGCACTATCCACACAATTGCCCACTGATTGCCAGGCCACGCCACATGCCTCACAACCAGAGCACTGCATGGTCAGGGCCCTTCTCAGCCATTGCACGGTGGGCATGCCAGTTGCATCACAAGCAGAGCATGCATGGGTGTACTTGCACAGTCGTTGCCCGGCAGCTGTGCCGTGTGCATCAAAATCAGAACATGCCCCATCCGTGCGATTGCACACCCACTGAATGACGGGTGAGCTGCAGGCTTTGCATTCAGTGCAATCACAGTCCCGTGGCACCAGGTGGATGCAATGTTGGAAACCCCACGCACAAGGGAGGGTCCCACGGGACTCAAAGCACAGGGGAAGGGGCACTGCTGTGTCTGATAAGAGGTGCAAATACCTTGTGGGCTACACACTGTGCCCATGTAATCGAGGGAGACGCAAGCACCTCAAGGGGACCCAGGTTACCCTATTCCACGTGTGCCCAGGAGGGCAGGAAGCCAGGTACTCTTGCCTGAGGCAGCGGGCACAAGCCTTGCATCACCACCCCAACCCCATACAGCATGGGGTGACCGGACGCTATAGATCCATCCCCATATGAACCCCTCTATCCATCTCTAGGGGCTGGATGGGCCCAGGGCTCTGATATGGCAGGCAGGGAAGGGATGGGATACTGGAGTAGATGGGCCCATGGGTCTGACCAAGGGCAGGATACCAGGGTAGATGGTCCTGTGGGTCGGACCCAAGGTGGAATACCAAGGTAGATGGGCCTAGGGGTCTGATAGGGGTGGGATACCAGGGTAGATGGGCCTGTGGATGTGATCCAGGGCGGGATACGAGGGTAGATGGGCCTGTGGATGTGATCCAGGGCAGAATACTGGGATAGATAGGCCCATGGGTCTCATCGGGGCAGGATACCAGGGTAGATGGGCCCATGGAAGTGACCCAGGCTGGGATACCAGGGTAGATGGGCCCATGGGCCTGACCCAGGCTGGGATACCAGGGTAGATGGGCCCGTGAGTCTGACTGGGGCAGGATACCAGGGTAGAGGGGCCCAGGGTTCTGATTGTGGCAGGATACCGGGGTAGAGGGGCCCATGGGTCTGATCCAGGGTGGGATACCGGGGTAGATGGGCCCTTGGGTCTGATTGGGGCAGGATACTGGGGTAGAGGGGCCCATGGGTCAGATTGGGGCAGGATACTGGGGTAGAGGGGCCCATGGGTCAGATTGGGGCAGGATACTGGGGTAGAGGGGCCCATGGGTCAGATTGGGGCAGGATACTGGGGTAGAGGGGCCCGTGGGTCAGATTGGAGCAGGATACTGGGGTAGAGGGGCCCGTGGGTCTGATTGGGGCAGGATACTGGGGTAGATGGGCCCATGGGTCAGATTGGGGCAGGATACCAGGGTAGATGGGCCCATGGGTGTGATCTGGCAGGGGTGGAGGTGGGGCTGTGTGCAGTGGGCGGGGCTGTGTTGGGCAGCAGCACAGGAAGCCAAGGCAGGAAGCCTGAGGCTACGAAGCCGGAAGCCTCTTGGACTGCTGATAAGGCCACCTGATGGGGAGCGAGGCTCTGAGCAGCGCTGGCCTGGGCTGCTTTAAATAGCTCCCCATCCGGCCAGACAATGGGCTGGGGGCTGGGGCACCGGTTTGTGGGGGGGGGGGGGGGTGCCCTCCTGCACACACAGCTATTCACTCCAGCTCCCACCCAGAGCCAAGACAGAACCCAGGAATCCTGGCTCCCAACTCTCCCTCCCCCTGCTCTAACCACAGGACCCCACTCCCCTCCCCCAGCCGGGGAGAGAACCCAGGATCGTGGCTCCCAGCCCCTCCTCCCCTGCTGCAAAACACTGTGTGGGAGGAAGGCAGGTCTTGTGGGGAAGGTGCTGAATTCAGGCGCCCCCCCCCAAGGTTCTACGCCCAGGTCTCCCACAGATTCCCTAGGTGACCTTGTGCCTGTTGCTACATCACTCTGTGCCTCAGTTTCCCCCATACACTGAGAATGAGCCTCCCTCTGTGTGTGTACCAAGTGCGCAGCCCTGCACTTGAAACACCCGACCTTTTCACCCCTTGCAACTACATTAGCTGTCACCTGGAAACTAAAACACAGCGAGAGGTAGGGTGTAACCCCCCCTTCCCACGCACACAGATACACAGAGGCAGACACACAGAGTCAGCGAGAGCGAGAGGGAGACAGGCAGATACACACAGACACAAAGACAGACAGACACCCCGGCAGACACACACAGAGTCAGGCAGGTACACACGCACCCAGACAGGCAGATACATACCCGCACAGACAGACAGAGAGACAGCCAGACACAGATACCTCCCTCTCCCCGCATCACCCCCAGAACCACGGAACAGCCCGGGAAGCCAAGGAGAAGGGATTCCGTGTAATAAGGGAGTGGCACAGACTATGCGGTTTCCATTTCAGATCCACCCCACCCCACCCCCGTGTGATAAGGGGGTTTCGCCCTGATAACAGCCCAGACGCTGAATCTGGACTTTGGGAGAAACTGGCAGAGGGGTCAAACGTTGCGTGGAAGCAAATCATGTCTGTTGGATCGGGAGAATTTGTGTGCTGTAAATTAGCAATCTGTACTCTGCTCTGCTCTGGGAGGGGAGGGAGGTCTAGTGATGGGAGACGAGGGCTGGGACCCAAGACTCCTGGGTTCTATCCCTGACTTGGGCAGGGGAGGGCTAGGGGTTAGCACAGGAGGGACTGGCAGCCAGGATTCCTGGGTAGGTTTGCCAGCCATCCAGGACTGGCCTGGAGTCTCCAGGAATTAAAGATTAATCTTTAATTAGAGATGATGTCATGTGATGAAATCTCCAGGAATACATCCAACCAAAATTGGCCAACCCTACCCCTGGGTTCTATCCCCAGCTCTGGGGAGGGTCCTTGGGAGTCAAAACTTCTGGGTTCTATCCCCCGCCCTGGAAGTGGGGGTCCAATGGTTTAGAACTGGGGGTGGGGGGGCTGGGAGCCAGGACTAATCCCTGACCTACCATGTAATCTTGGCCGCTTCTCTGGGCCTCAGTTTCTACTCCTGTCCTTTATCTGTTCAGACTGTGGGCTCTTTAGACAGGGCCTGTCTCTCTGTGTGTCTGGGAAGCGCCCGGCACAATAGGGCCCTGATCTCAGCCAGGCAGGGCCCATCTCTCCCTGTGTGTCTGTGTAGTGCCCGGGTCAGAAAGAATCAATTGGGCACAGTTGCCTCGGCATATGCAGGCTCCAGGCCGATCCCCAGGAAACTGCCCCAGCAAAGCCCTTCAGCAAACTGCAAATCAGACAATTCCCCTGGCCAAGGAGATGACGAGACCCCACCATCACTGCCAAGGCTGCTAATTCCCCTCAACCCAGTCGCGGCCTGGCCGGTTAAAACATCCTCTCGCCAGACGGTGCTTAAAGTGGCCACAGAACCGAGTCCGGGGGATCTAGCATCCTCTGGGTGCAGCAGCTTTCGTCCAGCAGGCCCAGACCTTCCCGGGCATTTTGGTGCCTTGCTGCCACTGATTTCCAGGATGATGGTGGATCAGTCTTAATAGACCTTGTGATTTCCTTGCTGGCTCTGGGACCCCCCCCCCTTGCAGCCCCCCTATTGCTCCCCACTGTGCAAACCGGCTTTAAGCCCTGGCTCTCCCTACTGAGGAACAAATGTAGTAGCCCAGCACGATCCCAAAGCACTAGAATCCTGGAGATGATCAAAGTGGCTCTGAGCCCGAGAAACGCCTTCCCTGCCCCTTGGATAAAGATGCAACGTCTCTAAGTATCGAAGGCCGCCCCCAAAATCCAACTGGGTCTTGGCCACGGATCTTGTTCCCTTGATGCCAATGGGTTTTCGGTTTGATGCAGTGCACGAAATTCCAGGCTTCCCGGGCCAGCCGTGGTCCTGTCAGCGGAGCTGCTGGGTAACCCATAATATGCTCCTGGGGCGTGTTTAATCCACTCGGTGATTGGGAGGGAAACCTGCCCCAAAATCTGTGCGCGAGGAGAACCCACTTGGCTCGGAAGGGAGCAAGGAAAAAGAGCGAGTGAAAAAAAATAACCAGCAAGCAAGAGAGAGAGAAAAGAGTGTGAAAGGCAGAGAAAGAAATAAAGGGAGAGAAAAAATGGTAGAACACGAAGGAAAGAAAGAAAGAGCATGAAAGGTAGAGGGGGGGAAAAAGCAAAAGCAAGCAAGAACATGCAAGCTAGAGAAGGAAAGGAACAAAAAAGAACAAACACGAGCGCTAGATAAAGTTAGAATGGGACAGTGACAGAAAGAAGGACAGACTGACCTGTTAAGCAAGGTTGCACCCCAGATTCTCCATGTTGGGGGCACAGGCCCCCCCATTTCCATCCCGGCCTGAGATCCTTTCTGCCCTGCTTTGTGGGAACCATCCATAGGTGCCCCATGGCACCCCCATGCTCCATGGAGGGGGTGAGCCCCCCATTTCCTCCCCTCGGGACGCAGGCTCTCCCCGATCCTGACCCCCTTCCTGCACGCTCCTGGGAACGGGGAGGGGAGGGTGGGGGAGGCATGTGCCTTTGCGGGGCTCCGGCTGAGCAGCACCGTGGGTGTCTCTCTCTCGGGCGGTTTGGTTTGGGTTATTTAAGCTCAGCGACATCGACCGCCACGAACGGGAAGGAAGAGGAAATTTTTTGTACCAGAAGGAAAGAGCAGAGGGGGGGGGGGGGCGTTTGTGGAGCCGGGGCGCGCACCAGAGAGAGAGAGGAACTGAACGCAGCCCAGCATGAGCCCAGCACCAGCTGGAGCCCAGACACCGGCACCTGGAGGAACATCTCCAGAACCTACCTTGATTGTTCCATCCATCGTTGCTCCCCCACGGAGCTCCCCGCCTAGACCTCCATGGACGAGGCGAGGTGGTGCATTAGCAAAGGGGGCCGGATGAGCGGTGCTCTGTGTGTGTGTGTGTGTGTGTGTGTGTATGTGTGTGTGTGTGTATGTGTGTGTGTGCGTCTAATTTTGGGAAGTGAAGTCACTAACCGCCGGGGCTGGTTTCCTATTGGTGTGACCAAGTTTGCAAAGCTTTTTTTTTTTCTTGTCTTCTTCTTTTGGCGCTAGGGCTGGGTGGCTCTCTGCACTGCCGTTGATGAGGGCAACAGCACAAGGCTGAGAATTGGGGAGCTGGGGGGAGAGGGTGCACGGAGGGCCACAGGGATAGAATCCCATTTAGCCCTTGCACAGCAAAGTGGTGCCATGCCTTTTAGTAGTCAGGACCAGTGATCTGTACCACAGCAGCACCTAAAGAGATCAGGGCCCTGTTGAGCCAGGCGCTGCCCAGACACAGCGAGAGACAGGCCCTGCCCCAAAGAGTTTACAGTCTCCATTACCAAAAAGTGGGAGGAAAAAGAGAGGCCCGGTGTCACACAGCAGCACTGAGAACAGAACCCAGGAGTCCTGGCTCCTCCTGCTCTAACCAATAGCCCCCACTCCTCTCCCAGAGCCTGGCTAGAACCCAGGCATCCTGGCTCCCAAAATGGGCAGGAGTGGGGTCTAGTGGTTAGAGGAAGGGAGGCTGGGCGTCAGGACTCCTGGGTTCCATTCCCAGCTCTGGGGTTAGAGTGGGGTCTGGTACGTTAGCACAGCTGGGGCTGGGAGCCAGGATCCTGGGTTCTTCCCATCCCCCCCTTAACCATCTCGCACAGCAGGAGGGGGCTGGGCAGGAAATGGTGATGGGGTGAAAACTACCAAGAAATGCAAATCCTCGAAGGAGCCTGTGCCAGGAACCAGGTGGTGCAGAAACCACGGCCCCCTCCCCACCTCTAACCCCCCCTTGGCTGAGGCCCCCAATCCACCCCCTATAAGCCCTAGGTGGCAGGGAATAGCCCAGTGCAGGACAGCATGGCCACACCCCCAATCCGCCCGTATGGGCCCTGGGGGGCAGAGAATAGCCACAGCACAGTGCACCTCGATGACACCCCAATCCTCCCCCTACGGGCCCTGAGAGGCAGAGAATAGACACGGTACTGGGCACCCCATCTAATTGAAGTCTTAAGTGTCCCAGTGACCCAGGGTGTGTCTATAGGAGGGGGATGGGGGGGGCGTGTGTGTGTGTACGGATTGGTGCAAGTGTTTGTGTACGAATTGGGTTCTGCAGGGGTTGTGTGTGTGTGTGGGTGTTTGTGTAGCTGTGGGGGGGTGGTCGTGCAGGTGTGTGTGTTCGTGTGGCTGGATTTATGCATGTGTTTGCATCTGTTAGGGTTGTGTTGGTGTGCGGCTGGATTTGTGCGGGTGTTTGTGTATGTTAGTAAGAATGTGTGTGTGTGGCTGGATTCATGCATGTGTTTGTGTATGTTTGCAATTATGTTTGTGTGTGTGCATCTCTGCTGCCCTCTGCTGGCTACAGCTACAACTGCTTCTCCATGTGTCACAGCCCCCATACCATCAACCTCAGTGGCGATTCCCCCATCCTACAAGGGCTGGCTGGCCTGACCCTTCGCCCGTCTGCGGAGTGTGGTGGGGGCTTCAGCTCTCCCCCTGTGGCTCAGGAGGGTGCAGGTGCGGGGCGCTGGGCTCTGATGCACCTGGAGGGCAGATCGGGTGGGGCGCGGCAGGGCAGGGCCTGTGGTTTCCGTTCCGCGTTGCCTGGTGCTGGATCATTGCACAATCCCCAGCCATACTGCTCAGCGCACCCCGAGAGGGAGTGGGGGGCCAAGCAGATGATCCAGTACCAGGGGGGAGAAGATATGTGGTTGGGGGGAGGGAAGGTCTTGGGCTGCACTGGAGGAGTGCAGAGCAGGGGTGACACCCCAAAAACCTCCAGCAAAGGGATGGAGAGATGGAGAGGGTGGGGTACGTGGATAGAAGAGGCAGCGAGCCTAACATCTAAAAGGGGAGTGGGGTCTAGTGTTTGGGGGGGGGCTGGTGGTCAGAATTCCTGGGTTCTATCCCCAGCCTTGGGAGGAGAGTCGGGTCTAGTGGTTAGAGTGGTGGGGGCGGAAGGAGTGAGCCAGGACTCCTGGGTTCTCTTCCTGGCTCTGACTCTCTCTTGTGTAATCCCTCGGCAGTTAACCAACCCGCCAGCGTGTGGGAGCAAGGGGGTGGGGCCGGGTTGCAACACGGCCCAGAGTCCCGTGCGGCCCCCTTAGTTACTCAACCAGGGGCAGGGTGGGGGATGGCCTGGGAGATCCGCTAAGAAAGGTGCTTCCGATGGGTTTGTGTGTGGGTCACGGTGCCCCCTGCTGGATAGACCCCTCTAGATCAGAGCCATGGGCCCCTCTAGCCCAGTCTCAGCCCGGGTCAGACCCAGGGAGCCCATCCTCATCTGTCGCCACGGCTATGTCTATGGGTCTCCTGGAAAGGTCCTTTCCCATAGGTAGCTGTCCAGTGGCAGTGAGTTCCACAGACCTCGGCAAAGGCTGCGTGGGGCGGGAGGTCCTTGTGTTGGGAGCTCTGGGAGTGAACTCTGTGTAGTTGTGTCTGAGCATGATTGTGAATATTCCAGTGTGTGTGGGGGGGTGATTGTGATTGTGGCTGGGGGTGTGATTGTCCCTCTCTTTCAGGGGTGGGCTAGCGTGTGCCCTGGTTGTGGAGTGTGTGAGTGTCTGTAGGTGTTTTTGGGTCTGTGTGAGTCCCTTTGAGCGTCAGCATGTCTGAATGGCGGGCTGTGTGGAGTTGTTGAGGTGTTTGTGTGGTAGCTGTGGTGTGTTTGTGTGTGTGTGTGTCACCTGCTACAGGATACAAAGTCCTGCAAAACCATTTCCTACCGGTTAGCCCCACAACACATTGACACTGATACAAACACACTGTCACACACACACACACACACACACACACAGAGCAGGGCTCAGCCGGGCCAGCAGGGGACGGCAGGAACACACACGTCTCCCTAGGGCCAGCTTGGATGATTTCCCATCACAACCCCGCACGGTGCTGGTGGCCCCACACGCGAGTGGGCAGTGGTGCGGGGGGGGGGGGGGGCAGATGTGATGGATTTGGAAGGAAGCACTTTGGGAAAATCAGTCCAGGCCCTGAGCAGAGCTGGGAGACAGACACAGTTACCCCTGCAGAACCCAGGCAGGGGAGTGGGGTCTAGTGGTCAGAGCGGGGTGGGGGCTGAGCGCCAGGACACCTGGGTTCTCTCCCTGGCTCTGGGCACGGAGCGGGGTCTAGAGGTTAGAGCAGGGGGACAAAACGTGCGGCTTTAATATTTCCCAAGGTTGTGGCTGGATACAGGTTTTTGGAATGACTTTCGGGAAATATTTTGTTTCCAGACAGACTCCAGATACCAAACGATGGTGCTAAGACGCTCCCCCTGCGCCCCTCGCCCATTACCCCAGGGTCCGAGCCTCTTCCCAACCCGCAGGGTAGTTCTCCTCCCAGGCTCCGGCGAGGGCGGGAAGCGCCACCAGCCCCATTTCCCGGATGGGAGAACTGAGGCCCAGAGAGACTGAGTGATGTGCCCGAGGGCACCTGTGAAGTGTGGGGCAGAACAGGGGGCTGGGACCGGATTCTTTTTCCTCAGTAAGTTTCTGCTCTCCCGCCTCCCCACTCTGCCCTGCTCCTGGGCCGCTATGGTGCAGGGGCGGGGCTTCGGGAGAAGGGGCGGGCTGGGGGCGGGGCCTTGGAGGAAGAGGCGGGGCAGGAGCGGGCCCAGGAGGGGTGGGACAGTGTGGGAGCGGGGATGGGGGAAGGGGTGGAGCAGGACCAGGGTTTCAAGAAGAAGAGGAAGCACAAGGGGGAAGGGGCAATGCAGGGTTGGAGAATTCGGGAAAAGGGGCGGCACGCGGCAGAGCCTTGGGGGAAGGGGCGGTGCGGGGGCGGGGCCTCTGGAGAGGGGCGGGGCGAGGGCGGGTCCTTGCAGGAAGAGGCGGGGCAGGGCCGGGCCCTGGCGGGGTGGGACAATGCGGGAGCAGGGATGAGGGAAGGGAGGTGTGGGGGCGGGGTTTGGGGGAAAGGGGCGGAGTCGTGGGGAAAGGGCGGGGCAGGGCCATGGTTTCAAGAAGAAGGGGAAGCACAAAGGGGAAGGGGCATTGCGGGGTTGGAGAATTAGGGAAAAGGGGCGGTACCGGGCAGAGCCTTGGGGGAAGGGGCGGTGCGGGGGCGGGGACTGGGGGGAAGAGGCGGCATGAGAGCAGGAGATCGCGGAGAATTGAAGCGCCAGGGGGGAACTTAGGGGAAGGGGCGGGGTCTCGGCGGATAGGGAGGGGCAAAGGTGGGGGCTCGGATGAAGGGGAGCCGCGGGAGGGGGGTGGCCACGTTTCGGCGCTGGTGCCCCCCCCCTTTTAGGGACCGGAAATTCCGTCGCCCCTGCGCGCCCCGCACCCCCAGAAACTCCCCTCCATGCACAGCCCGGCTCTCGCTGCCGGGCTCCCCGAGCCGAGTGCAGAAGCTGGGGGAGCTCAGGGCAGGGACGGGGCGGTGGCTGGACCAGTGGCGGCCGGAGGCGCCCCCCGGGGCCGGGGCCGAGAGGGGCAGCGGGGCTGCGGAGGAGCGCGGCACCCAGCGCCTGGGGCGGGGAGACGAGGGGGCGGTGCGGGGCGGGGGCCCCTGGCGGGGGGCGGGGTTATGCAGATCAGCCGCGTCCGGCGGCAGCCAGGGGGCCCGGCGAGATGAGCCGAGGACGCGGGCGGAGAGAATGCTCTGTGTCTGAGCAGAAACCGGTGCGGGGAGTCCGCATCGGAGTCACTCCGGGGCAGTGATTGCCACTTAGCTACGAAGTTATCAGAGTAGCTCCTGGGGACGTGAACAGCTGTGGGGGCGAGAGGGCAGCGCGGTGTCCCAGGCTCCCGGTATCGCTTCTCGGTCTCTATGGCTCAGATCAAGTGTCTGGTCTTCTCCGTTTAATCTCCGGTGTGTTCTCCAGGCGAGAGCTTCATATTAAATGGAGTTTTGGAACAGGGAGCGGGATGAGGAGCTCGCTCCGTCCGCTCCACGCATCAGCCCGGTGTTGCGGCGCTGCCGGGCGCGGTGCCCTTCCCCGGGGCGGGGGAGAACCTGCTGCTAGAAAAAAACCAGCTGCCTCGTGCGGCTGCGGGTCTGTTCCCGGGAGCTGGGGGGTCAGCGGGTCAATCCCCGCCCCCGGCGCCCGCTGCTTTCTCCGTCCGCACGAGCCGCCTCGCTCCTCTCGCCGCTGCCGCCGGACGCGGCTGATCTGCATAACCCCGCCCCCCGACAGGGGCCCCGCCCCTCCCCGCCCCCTCGTCTCCCCGCCCCGGGCGCTGGGTGCCGCGCTCCTCCGCAGCCCCTCTCGGCCCCGGCCCCGGGGGGCGCCTCCGGCCGCCACTGGTCCAGCCACCGCCGCGGCCCTGCCCTGAGCTCCCCCAGCTTCTGCACTCGGCTCGGGGAGCCCGGCAGTGAGAGCCGGGCTGTGCATGGAGGGGAGTTTCTGGGGGTGCGGGGCGCGCAGGGGCGACGGAATTTCCGGTCCCTAAAAGGGGGGGGCCACCAGCGCCGGAACGTGGCCACCCCCCTCCCGCGGCTCCCCTTCCTCCGAGCCCCCACCCTTGCCCCTCCCCATCGCTCGAGGCCCCGCCCCTTCCCCCCGAGTTCCCCCCGGCGCTTCACTTTCTCCCCGATCTCCTGCTCTCATGCCGCCTCTTCCCCCCAGTCCCCGCCCCCGCACCGCCCCTTCCCCCAAGGCCCTGCCCGGTGCCGCCCCTTTCCCCAGTTCTCCAACCCCGCAATGCCCCTTCCCCCTTGTGCTTCCCCTTCTTCCTGAAACCCTGCCCTGCCCCGCCCCTTCCCCAAGACTCCGCCCCCACACGGACCCTTTCCCCAAACCCCGCCCCCACACCGCCCCTTTTCCCTCATCCGCTGCTCCCGCATTGTCCCGCCCCTCCAAGGCCCGCCCATGCCCCGCCCGTTCCTGCAAGGCCCCGCCCTCGCACCGCCCCTTCACTCTAGGCCCCGCCCCAGACGGCCCCTTCTCCCCAGGCCCCGCCCCTGCACCACTCAGCGGCACAGAAACACGGCACAGTGGGGAGGCGGGAGGGCAGAAACTTACTGAAGCAAAAGACTCCGGTCCCAGCCCCCTGTTCTGCCCCACACTTCCCGGGTGCCCTCGGGCACATCACTCAGTCTCTCTGGGCCTCAGTTCTCCCATCCAGGAAATGGGGCTGGTGGCGCTTCCCGCCCTCGCAGGAGCCTGGGAGGAGAACTACCCTGCGGGTTGGGAAGAGGCTCGGACCCTGGGGTAATGGGTGAGGGGCGCAGGGGGAGCGTCTTAGCACCATCGTTTGGTACCTGGAGTCTGTTTGGAAACAAAATATTTCCCGAAAGTCATTCCAAAAACCTGTATCCAGCCACAGCCTTGGGAAATATTAAACAAAGCCACACGTTTTTCCCTCGTGTAGCCTGCCCCCGACCTGGCACCAGCCCCCAGTTCTGCCCCCTTCCTGCCACCACAGCCCCATCTCACCTCCTGACCCTCTCTGGGTGCCCTGGGTCCCTCGTAGCAGGGGGCTCTCCAGGAGGGTGCAGGGGGGTCTCACCTTGCAGCCATGGGGGGGGTCTGGTGGATGTCCAGCCGCTCTGGTTTCCTCCGCATGTGGGGAGGGGTTCCTACTTTCTGACTTGGGCTGGAGATATGGAGAGGGGTATTTCTGTGATGTCAGAGCCCTGCGGCGGAGGGGCTCAAATCATGACTCTGAAGTGGCAGGGCAACCTCCCTCCCGCCCCCCAACCCCGCTCACATTCGGCTAGGGGGCTGGGCTGGGATCTCTAGGGAGGGAGACACAGGAAAAAACAGCTGCCACTATGGAACCCAGGAGTCCTGGATCCCAGTCCCCCTGCTCTAACCTCTAGATCCCACTCCGCTCCCAGAGCCAGGGAGAGAACCCAGGGGTCCTGGCGCCCAGCCCCCACCCCGCTGTGACCACTAGTCCCCACTCCCCTGCCTGGGTGCTCCAGGGGTAACTGTGTCTCTGTCCCAGCTCTGCTCAGGGCCTTGACTGATTTTCCCAAAGTGCTTCCTTCCGAATCTATCACATCTGCCCCCCCCGGCCGGTCACTGCCATCCGTGTGTGGGGGCACCAGCACCGAGCTGGTTCGTGATGGGAAATCATGCAAGCTGGCCCTAGGGAGACGTCTGTGCCCCGACACACCCTGGGCACACATTAGCCCACCCCCAAATGAGAGGGACAATCACACCCCGAGCCACAATCACCCCCACACACACCGCAATATTCACAATCGTTCTCAGAGACATAACCGCACACAGTTCACTCCCACTGCCCCCAACACAAGGACCTCTTGCCCCATGCAGCATGTGCTGAGGCCTGTGAAACTCACTGCCACTGGACAGCTACTTATGGGAATGGACCTTTCCAGGAGACCCATAGACATAGCCGTGGTGACAGATGAGGATGGACTCCCAGGCTCTGACCCAGGCTGAGACTGGGCTAGAGGGGTCCATGGCTCTGATCTAGAGGGGTCTATCCAGCAGGGGGCAGCGTGACCCACACAAAAACCTACTGGAAGCACCTTTCTTAGCGGATCTCCCAGGCCATCTCCCACCCTGCCCCTGGTTGAGTAACTAAGGGCGGCCGCACGGGACTCTGGGCCGTGTTGCAACCTGGCCCCACCCCTCGCTCCCACACGCTGGCGGGTTGGGTAACTGCTGAGGGATTACACAAGAGTCAGAGCCAGGGGAGAGAACCCAGGAGTCCTGGCTTGCCCCTCTCCGTGCCCCCACTCTAATCACTAGACCCCACTCCCCTCCCAGGGCTTGGGATAGAACCCAGGAATTCTGACCACCAGCCCCCACCCCCAACCACTAGACCCCACTCCCCTTTTAGATGTTAGGCTCGCTGCCTCTTCTATCCCTCTCCATCTGCCCATCCCTTTGCTGCAGGTTTTTGGGGTGTCACCCCTGCTCTGTACTCCTCCAGTGCAGCCCAAGGCCTTCCCTCCCCGCAACCACATATCCTCTCCCCCCTGGTACTGGATCATCTGCTAGGCCCCCCACTCCCTCTCGGGGCCTGCTGTGCGGCGTGGCTGGGGATTGTGCAATGACCCAGCACCAGGCAACGTGAAACGGAAACCACAGGCCCTGCCCCACCTGATTTGCCCTCCAGGTGCATCGGAGCCCAGCGCCCCGCTCCTCCACCCTGCTGAGCCACAGGGGGCGAGCTGAAGCCCCCACCACACTCCGCAGACGGGTGAAGGGTCAGGCCGGCCAGCCCGTGTAGGATGGGGGAATCGCCACTGGAGGTGACAGTTTGGGGGCTGTGATCCGTGGAGAAGCGCTTGTCGCTACAGCCAGCAGAGGGCAGCAGAGCATGCACGCACACAATTGCAAACATATGCATGAATCCAGCCCCCCCCCACACATTATTACTAACATACACAAACACCCACCCAAATCCAGCCACATCAACACACACACCTGCACAGCTACACAAACACCCGCCCACACACAAAACCCCGACAGAATCCGATTCACACACAAACGTGCACAAATCCATACTCTCACACACCGCCCCCCCCATTCCCCTCCTATACACACACTTTGGGTCACTGAGAAACTTCAATTGGACGGGGGTGTCTATTCTCTGTCTCCCAGGGCCCATAGGGGGAGGATTGGGGGCATGGCCAGGGCCCACTGGGCTGTGGCTATTCTCTGCCCCCCCAGGGTACATGGGGGTGGATTGGGGGCTGAGGGGGCACAATCCAATGTCAGCCAAGGGGGGGTTACAGGTGGGGGGGGGGCCGTAGTTTCTGCACCACCGGGTTCCTGGTACAGGCTCCCTACACTTCTTGGTAGTTTTCACCCCATCACCACTTCCTGCCCTGCCCCCTCCTGCTGTGTGAAATGGTTAAAAGGGGGAATGGGAAGAACCCAGGAGTCCTGGCTCCCAGCCCCACTCTAACCCGAGAGCTGGGAATGGAACCCAGGACTCCCGAAACCCAGCCTCCCTTCCTCTAACCCCTAGACCCCACTCCCGCCCATTTTGGGAGCCAGGACGCCTGGGTTCTATCCAGGCTCTGGGAGGGGAGTGGAGGCCACTGGTTAGAGCAGGAGGAGCCAGGACTCCTGGGTTCTATTCTCAGTGCTGCTGTGTGACACCGGGCCTCTCTTTCTCCTCCCACTTTTTGGGTATGGAGACTGTAAACTCTTTGGGGCAGGGCCTGTCTCTCGCCTCGCCCAACAGGGCCCTGATCTCAGCTGCGGCAGGGACTGTCCTTGTGTCTGTGCAGCCCCCAGCACAACGGGGGCCCTGCTTCTGCCCCGGTCTCTTTAGATGCTGCTGTGTACGGATCAACAGACCTGAATACTAAAAGCCATGGCACCGCCATTGCCCTGCAAGGGCTAACTGGGATTCTTACCCCCGTGACCCTCCGTACATCCCCCCCCCCCCCCGACAAGTTCCCCGAGTCTCTGCCCTGAGCCCCTCGTGCTGCTCAATGGCAGTGAAGAAAGCCGCCCAGCCCTCGCGACGAAAGAAGACGGGGATGAAAAAAAAAAAAAAAAGGGCTTTACAAAAATTGGTCACACCAACAGGAAACCGGCCGCAGTGGTTTGCGACTACACCCGCCCCCCTGCGCTTATCCGTCCCCCTCGGGGAGCAGCGCTGGACGACACCATCCAAGTAGGTTCTGGACATGTTCCTCCACCTGCCGGCGTCTGGGCTCCAGCCGGTGCTGGGCTGCGTTCAGTTCCTCTCTCTGGTGCGTGCCCCGGCTCCACAAACGCCACCCCCGCCCCCACACACACACAGACGCTCAGGACTGAGCTTAAAGAACCCCAACCAAAGCGCCCCAGGGAGAGACACCCACGGCACTGCTCAGCTGAAGCCCTGCAAAGGAAGATGCCTCCCCCTACCCATTCCTGAGCGTGTGGGAAGGGGGTCAGGATTGGGGAGCATGGGGCACCTATGGATGGTCAACCCAAGCAGAGGAGAAAGGATCTCAAGCCAGAAGGGAAGTGGGAGGGCCTGTGCCCCCAACATGGAGAATCTGGGGTGGAACCTTGCTTAAC